GTAGGCAGCGTAAGAAAAAGCGGATATAGAAGCGAGGAGTACTTACAAAGGGAGCTGGAGAGGATCTACTCGCTTAGCGCGAGGCTGATTAGCAGATTGCTCATGAAGAGCGTCAGAGAGGAGAGCGATTAGGTGTTAGCCGCCAGGCTTTGGCGCGCTGTAGTAGGTGCAGAGAGACTGGCCATAACTCGCGTACGTGCAAGAAAGATACTCTAGGTACTGCTTAATCTATTATGTTAATATGTAGTAAAACAACTATATTGTGGTGGAACTACAGGCTTATAGAGGTGCGCAGGTTTGGTGGGGTGCGGCGCTCGCTTGCCTGCGGCGCTCGCTTGCCACATACGTTAAGCGTCAGCGTCTTGCCTTGTTTTCGTTATGCCCAAACAACCATCTTTGTCAAGTACCGTTTGTCATTAGAATCTTACTAATTTTATTAAATCCTTTAGGGAAATTATAGTGCAGAAGTATTTATTATATGTAAAGAATAACTAAGTGTGCAAGGTGCATATTTATTCTAGAAAATGTAGCAAATGTCTCTGTTGTGGACAACGGTGTAATGTCCGTGTCACCAAGTCTAAGTTCAAGCGTCTGGCTGCCAAGAAAGAGAAGTTGGAGGGTCACGCGTTGTGCATGCCTATTATAAAACCTGTCTCATCAAAGTTGTACATATCGTTGTCCTAGATCCCATACTTGGCTTTAGTATTCTATACTAGACGGAACTGTTACGATCCGTGACCAGTAACAGATGAAACTGCTTACTAAGTGATCAGTTTCGAGGATCCAAAGGATGCACTACGCCGCAATCCTTCGCAGCCGTGCCGCAGTCACGTGACCTGCTCAGTGATCAGTATGTCTTGGCACTACTGAGCAACTGAGCACTCTGCATGCAACCTGCAAGTTGCTCAGTGATTAGTACCTCTTGGCAGTACTGAGCAACTGAGCATATTGCATGAAGCTTTAGTATATAGCACTAGGCATTAAGCCCTTATGGCTTGATGTGTTTAACTTAAGTTTTAAGTACAAGTACAATACAGAGAGTTATTCTACTTGCACGTTACCGTCCTCGTTTGCACCCTGTTACTCTATCTGCGAAAACTAACCAACAAGAAGATTAACACTAGAAGTCTGATATTACTTCTACTTGATCTATACTCTTAATACTTTGAACACCCTCACAATGAGCGACATTGCAATAGACACCCTAACCGCTTCCTAGACTAGAGGAACTACCGTTAACGCCTATAAGCCTAACCTGTAACGATGTTACAACTTCGCCAAGTATTGAGCCAATCCCAGAGCCGGATCGGAGGAAGTACCTGCCGCCCTTCATCAGCCATTCGCCCGAGGTCGGATCCGAATTCGGACCCGACTAGGATAGGTATATATTGAGACACTCCCTGTAGCTAGCTCTGTAGACTTTTGATATCCTTTCGTACAAGGCCTATAGGTGGCTTGTTGAATCTAGGCTCTTTGTGATCCCACGCACTCCCATATGCCTCTGAGTGATCCTACGACCGAAACAGATCCGACCTGCCTTACCTGCGCCGTTACAGAGACTAGAGCAAACAGTCGAGATGATAAAACAACGAATGAAACACAATACCAAAGAAAATCATACTACGCACCTCAACCACCGGAGACGGGCGAATTACCACCTGAACTAGAAACAACTAAGCTTGACTTAAGAGGCTCCCAGTAATCTAGAGGCAAATCCGCGAAGGCACCCTAAGTACTAGGAGACAAGTTAATCGACAGATTAGACTTGTCAAACTCTAACACGCCTTCCCGCTCTAACTCTTCTAGCTCTCGACTTTCTATAGCAATCGCCTCCTTAGCACGCCTCTCTAACAAATCCATTTATAGCCGCAACCTCTGCTTCTAAGCATAATAAGTGCGCAACTCTTCTAGAGCTTTCTTATAAAGCCTTATAGCCGCATCTTGCGCATCGCGACTCTCTTTAATACTAGTAGTAGTTATAGCCTCTAAGCGTTGATCAAAGCTGAAATCCTTGTAGTAGGGCAACTGGGAGTGGGTTACTAGCGTGGTTTGTGTTAGCGCAGCTGGCTGGGTGATCCCACCCTTTATTATCTTTTAAGGCAAGCACTACCTTTCTGCCTGGTATAAGGAGGATAGCCTGCCTAGAGACTGGCTTATTGGGGTTTCCGCGAATGGCTGGACGACGAATGAGCTTGGCCTAAAGTGGTTGGAGCACTTTGATAAGCATACAAAAGAGCGTACTATTGGAGCCTATCGTCTACTTATTCTTGACAGTTATAAGAGCCACGACTCGCTTGAGTTCTAGCAATACTGTAAGGGGGCAAAGATTATCGCTCTCTGTATGCCTCCGCACTCCTCTCATCTACTACAGCCGCTTGATGTAGGCTGTTTCTCGCCTTTGAAGAGGGCGTATGGCCGCCAAGCCGAGAAGATGATACGCAATGGGATCAACCATATGACCAAGATTAAGTTCCTTCTAGCCTTCTAGCAGGCCTATGGCAAGACGATTACAAAGGATAATATCCTAGGAGGGTTTCGAGGCGCTGGCTTAGTTCCACATGACCCAGAGGTGGTGATATCGAAGCTTGATGTCAAGCTGCGTACGCCAACACCACCTGCTATAGACGATCTACCCTAGCTATCGCAAACCCTAAGCAATACCCTAGAACTAGGGTCGCAATCGACGCTAGTGAAGCAGAGGATTCAGAGGCACATAGACAGTTTACTATCAAGTATAGTAGTTGCCTTTGAAAAGCTAGCTAAAGGCGCTGCGATTATCGCGCAGAAGCTGGTGTTAGCGCAAAAACGCGTCTTTAAGCTTAAGGCAGCTAATAAAGCCGCTACACAACGAAGATCGTATAAAAGAAAGCGAGTGCAAAGAGAGGGGACTCTAGTAGTTAAAGAAGAAGAGCGATTAGCAGTTCTAAAGGAGTTTGGGGCGTGTAGTAATAGGAAGAAGGCAAAGAAGAGAGCGCGCGCTAAGGTAGGTGAGCCGTCGCAAAGGCACTGTAGACGCTGCGGCGAGGCAGGGCATAATACGCGCACATGTAAGCAAGTAGAAGTAATAGATTCTGAATAGAATAGTCTACTATAATTTCTAATTACTGCTATAGTTGCGTTGTAATAGGTATATAATAGTCGTCATGTTGGTGGGGTCTTGGCGCTGTGAGCCACTCGCTATACTGAGCCACTCGCTATACTTTGACGTTATAGAAATTTTAAACAGACACAACAAGTCGTCGTCGTCGTCTTAGTTTCCAGTCCACCAGACGTAATTGTTGGTCTCCTCAGCCGAGTCCCACACAAGCTCGCTGCTGGAATCCGCAGGCCTCTCCGGGAAGATGTTCATGTCAATGTTCCAGACATGGAAGTCTGCAGATTTGACGCTTGCGCCCTCTTGGACCCAAAGGCCAAAGCCCGTGCTATCGGTGCGAGCAGGGTAGATGCGGGTCGTGAGCCAGAAGCGGTCGTTGACATGGACCTCGACGAGCGAGCCGTCGACGAAAATGTCCATGTGCAGCGGCTCCGTGGTGCCGTTGGCAAACTTGTAGGGGTGGTAGTAGCCCAGCATGGTGTAGTTTGCAAACTGGGCGATGGACGAGGAGCGCGAGCGGTCGACGCTGATGGTGTAGTTGCTGGGGTTGTACGAGATGACTGTTTGCTCCTCGTGGTTGGGCGACTGCGCAATCACCACGCCAGCGGAGCCGGTGAAGTCGGAAAGCGTCACCTTGAGATGCATGTGGCTGGTGCCGTTGCCAGAAGCAGTCTTGGTGTTGTTGCAGTCAACCACTTGGGGCTGCGACTTGTGGAGAGCCTCGACAATCTCGGGCAGAGGTCGAGCGCCCAGCGTGTATCCGGTAAAAGTACCGTCTGCATGCTCAACGAGGCGGGTGTTGCCCTTGGTGCTCAACTGTGTGTTGTTGTTGACCAAGTTGCGAGTCTTGATGACGTACATCTCTCGGGGAATGGCCATGGCACCTTGGTAGCCTTGCTGGGTAAGGGCATAGTTGTTGTTCTCCTCGTTGGCCCAGCCCCATTGAATGCGGCGGTTGTTCTTGGTGTCCAGGAAACTGGTCACGGCGTAAAGCAGTCCAGAGTCGATGGCACCGCCAGCAAGGGGAGTAAACTCAACCGAGCCGTTCTCGCGCTTGTTGACCTGTCCCTCGTTCCAGAGACCCCATTGCGCACGGGGATGCCAAGTCAGGTTGCCACCCTCAGTGCCCATGAGCACGTAGTAGTGGACATCATCATCCTCGTCGGCCAGGGAGAAGAAGTTTGATCTATTACAGTGAGTTTGTGGTCGATGGACTGCATGTTGTCAACACTTACACCTCAAAGTTGAAGCCGTACGTTCCGGTCTCGAGCAGAGAGCCGAGAGTTTCGTTGCTCTTAGGCTCCCACAAGGCGCCCATGAAAGTCCAATCAGTCAGGTTCTTTGCGGGTGCGCTGTAGAAGGGAATGCGGCCACCTCCGTCCTTTCCCTTGATACCAGAGCCCAGAACCATGTACCAGTGCGGCTCCTCCTTTCCAAGCAGAGCGTCCATTTCTGGCCAGGGCTAGCTCGAGTTAGTCAATCATCCAAGCGCAATTCAAGCAAAGGGAACATACCTCGACAAAAGGATCACGCCATCCGGTGATGTTCCAGCCCTCTGGTGGGTGGCTCAAAATGGGGTTGCCGGCATATTGCTCCCAAGTCTCACCGCCGTCTTTGGAGATGGCAATGCTCTGGCTTTCAGTGCCGTTGATGTATGGGAGAGCCCAGTTGGTGGGCAGGTAGCGCACAGAAGTGTAAAAGTTGATGAGTGTGCCATCCTGCTCACCCTGCAGGTTGTAGGGCTGGCCGCTGCCGGAAAAGATGCCCAAACCGTAGTAGCTTGTGTTTCTGGAAGTGGGCTCAGGCCCAGTACCAAGAGACTGGGCTTCGCCATTCTTCCAGCCTCTGACATCGGTCCACGTGATCATATCCTTGGAAGTGGCGTGGCCCCAAGAAATGTTGCCCCAGTTGATGTGGTTCGGGTACCACTGGTAGTGAAGATGGTATGTCTTTGTGTGAGGATCGTACATCATGCCGCATGGGTCATTCAGCCATCCAGCAGGTCCGGTGAAATGGTAGCTTGGGCGCCATCTTGTGAAGAGGCTGTTGTTGCCCAGCCCTTGGATAATATCTTCTGTCAACACGGCAGGCAGATCATTGGCACCAACGACAGAGAGTGTGGTGAGCGCAAGGCCCAGAAGGGGAGAAGAGCGGAACATGCTGCTCAGTGATGGGCAACGACGACACTATGCAAAGTTTGTTGTGTTCTGAGTGAATTATTCGTGCCTCGGCTGTTCCATGAGGGAGCTTTGGAGATATGTGAGCGGGCAATGCACGTACCGTGACGATGGGCGTGTTGTTCGAAGTGCAATCATCACAGCGGCCATGCGTCCTTTATGTATTCCTTCTCAGACATGCAGTACCCACCCGGGTGGCAGGGTATGCGATCATAGTCTCCAAGTCCAGGACCATGAGCTCCGAAGTGGTGGGCTGGGCAGGCGGGCGGAATCCCGGGGCTCGGGATTTAGTGGGTTGGAACATCCCCGCATTTGGCAGAAATCCCCATAGTTCCCCACACGGTGTAGAAGGTACCGCTGTTCTCGAACCTATTTGCACGGGCTAAAGCTACCCGCCAACACATTGAGTTTTGTGAAAAGGCTAAGCCATTGCGATGCACGGGCGAACCTGGCGATGCGGTTGCCTTTCCGGACGGCCTCGTGATGTGTGCGCATAGTCCATATTGAAGAAATGTTTTCCTCCGTAGACCAAGTAGCTCAGGACTAAAATTACCGAGAACGGACCTGGGCAAGCGTGGAGTCGTGGAGCGGCCGAGTAACCTCCCGAGACTCAAGCCCTCATGCGGGCACAGCCCAGGCGGGCGCAATCGATAGCGGCGAAAAGCAGGAAATACTCGTGCCGTCTGGGGGCTAGTCTGGAGATATGCAGGCCTTGCGCAGGAACGCTCGTGCAGAGAGAGGACTGCTCCATGGGGACTCCGGGGCCGCGTGTCATGGGCGTAGGTGTAGACGGGTGCGCGATAATTGTATGTGTACCCATGGATATAGAGTTGGATGCATTATTTGGTCGCCCCGGGCGATGGGCGAGTGAGACAATGGGCGAGGGCGAGGGCGAGGGCGGGGGCGAGTGCATCTGGAGTAAAGGCGCCCAAAGCAGCAGAGAGCAGAGAGCAAAGGTGGCGGCGAGGTGTTCGCGGCGGACCAACGTCATTGCCGGCTCGACCAATCACGCGAGCTCCCACTCCGACCACGTTTCCTCCACCAAGGCGGGCGTTGCTGCGGCGCAACACACCATCACTGCTCTGCACAGGAGGCTTCTGCACTCTCCGATGGGGGCACGCATTCTTTTCTAGACGCCTTGACGCTCCACTACAGCACCATGGGTCGCCTCAAGCTTTATGTCACGGTAACAACAAATGCCCTCGCGGTGGCGCTGCGTGCCGCATGCTAACCGTTGCAGGGCTCGGCCGTCATGGCCAACGTCGTGCTCATGCGCGCATACTATGAACGCCCAAACTTCTACTCGGCCGCTGTCTACATATCCCAGAGCACCGGCTCGTTGATGTTCCTGGTCAATCTCATGCTCATAGTCGCCGCGAGCTTTGGTTATGGGTTACAGCGGCTCTTCTACGGGCCTCTCCGGCCCATCGAGACGGAGCAGCTATACGACAAGGCATGGTTTGCCGTCAGCGAGACGCTGCTGGCTATGACGATTTTCAGAGACGACATCGGCATCTGGTTTTTCGCCATGTTCCTCTGCTTGCTTGCGGGCAAGGTCTGGCAGTGGATTGGAGAGGGACGAGTGGAGTTCCTCGAGCAGCAACCACCCGCGAATCCGAAGCTCTTCCATTTCCGCTTGACGAGCTCCCTGTTGCTCTCGGTCGCCTTTGATATCTACATGATGCAGTACTGCATCGAATCGATACTCTCCGAGGCCCGGCCCGGCGTCATGGTCATGTTTGGTTTCGAATACGTCCTCCTAGCCATCGCCTCCGTATCGACGCTGCTGCGGTACTCGCTCTCCCTCGTCGAACTAGTCATTACACAGCGGCAGGAACGGGCGCGAGAGGAAGCTCGCAGACTGGCCAGTGAGATAGCACGCCAGCAAGCTGCAGCTAGCGGGGCTGAAGCGCCTCCAGAGGTAGACGAAGACGAGGATGAGGGCGACGTGCCTGGGTGGGAAGAGAAGGGCCGCTGGGTCTTCTACCTGGATCTGGCGACCGACTTTGTCAAGTCGGTCGTCTACATGGGCTTCTTCATCATTCTCATGACCTTCTACGGCATTCCCATCCACATCATGAGAGACCTGTTCATGTCGATTCGCTCGCTGATCAAGAGGATCAACGACTTTGTTCAGTACCGCAACGCAACGCGCGACATGAACACGCGCTATCCAGACGCGACGGCGGAAGAGTTGGAGCGAGAGAATACATGCATTGTGTGCCGTGAGGAGATGCGGCCGTGGGTTGAGCCGGGAGCAAATGGTGCGCAGCAGGGCCGGCGCATGGACGAGCGACAGCGCCCCAAGAAACTTCCGTGCGGGCACATCCTCCACTTTGGCTGTCTGCGCAGTTGGCTTGAGAGGCAGCAAGTGTGTCCAACGTGCCGCAGACCGGTCCTCACATCAGCAACAAGTTCCACGACACAACGCAACCAGCAGGCCAATCGGGGCCAACAGGGGCAGCCGAACCTGGCGAACCGCGAGGCGCTCCAGGCCATGTTTGGAGGCAATGCGCAGCAAGGCGGCTTTGGTGCAGCAGGCGGCGGTGCTGGAGGGCAAGCAGGCCAGGCGCAGCAGGCTGGACCCCAGGACGGCGGGCAAGCAAACGGTGCAGCAGCCAATATGCGCGTATTCAACTTGGGCCCGATCCGGATTGCGCTTGGGAACATGCGGGTGGCACCAGGGCAGCAGGACAATGTTGCTGTGCAGAACGCAATGCAGCAACTGCGACAACAAGCGGCAGCAAACAATGCGGTGCAGACTCCAGTCGAGCAAAACCTGCCTCCCGGACCATTGGCGTTTTCGCAAGGCGTGGCTCGGAGCATGCCGCCGGGTCCAATGCCAGGCGCTGTTGCGCTGCATCCGGCAGACATCCAGTCGGACATTCTGCGCATTCAGCAGAACATCATCGAGTCGATGCGGCAACTCAACGCGCAGCACGAGCAGCTCGAGGTTCTCCACCGGCTTCTGGAAGAGCTGCACCGGCTACAGCACGCGTCTGGAGCGGCTGCGGCAACGGGACAGGAACTGCCGCCGATCGCGCCGCTGATGAGCGCGTCGCACATGGGATCGTTTGCTCCGCAGGCCTACTTTTCTCGGGGCCCTGTTCTGCGACAAGGCGATGCAGGCGTGCCGGAGGGTCTGAGGCTGCCGGAAGGGTGGACACTGAGGTCCATGGCCCTAGCGCCGCGGGCCGGCCAAGAAAGTGGCACTGCAGGGTCGGCAGCCTCACACGCCGAACAGCCACAGCAGGAGAGCACGGGCACGGGCACGGCATCGCAGTCGCAGTCGCAGGCGCAGGCGGGACAGGCAGCAGAGGCAGCAGAGGCAGCAGAGGCAGCGGCAGCAGCAGCAGCAACAGCAGACCCTGCAGCGCACGCAGCGACGCCTGCAAGTGTGACTCGCTCGGCTCCACCGGCCCCATCGGCGGTGAGGACAACAACGGGCTCCGGCCAGCCTCGAAATTCGTCGCCCAAGGCTGCAGAGCCTAGCAGTCTTGAGTCTAGCTGGAGCTTTGGCAACGTGGGCGAGAGGACCGAGGCCGAAGCATCCAGCTCGGCCGTGGCGGGCAGCAGCTCAGAGGGACAGAGTGCGGCGCGGCGGACCGTCCTGGTGGAGGATGCCGACGAGGCTGAAGAGTAGCAGGCGGCCGGGGGTTGGCGAGAGGGTCGTGGTCGTGGTCGTGTCTGCGTGTGTACTGCATAGCGAGGCGTTTGGGAGTGAGAGGACAGCACTTGCTGGCCGCAAGGCAGTGGTTGCTCCATTGGGGGGGCCGCGGCAGGGGATCCCTGCGAATGACAGTTCACCTCTCTTGGCACGCGTGCTCCACCGCATATTTCCTGACTGTGTTGCTGTTGCTGGTGCTGGTGCTGTTGCTGTGACGATTTGCAGCGACGGAGCACGCCCGCCCAACCATTGCCCGGCCTGGGCCCTGCTGCACCCCACACGCAGCGTCGCTAGCCTGAACGACAGCAATGCCACGAGGGCGCGACACTGGATCGAGTGTTTCAAGGTGAGGCGAATATCTACATGTGCGCCTGTGGATGGGCAGGCCTCGAGCCGGCGGCTGGCCGGGACCCGCCAAGCCTGTCGAAGCGAGGCTAGCGTCGCTGCCGCCCCGGCCCACGGCCGCTAGCGCAGCAGCACCAGCCAGTCACGGGGCCAGCGTCGCCCAAGACAGCGCACCAAGGCGGCTACCAGCAGCTCGCCATTGAAACCGCATGCGAGCCCGGTTGTGCGACACCCAGTAGCAGACGCAGGAACTCGGAACCTGGCGCACACCCTGGGGCCATGGTGCGGGATAAAGCAATGCTCCCCGTCGCTGGGTGCGTGTATATCTATTGACGCCGGCGGCGTGACTCGACAAGACAAGACTAACAGACCAGATACAGCACCAAGGGCACGCCGCGTCGTCGGGCCTGCAGATGACTCTTCATTCACGCTCGCTAACGGGTGCTTAGGCCGCACTTTGTTTTGCTGAATATTGTATACCTATCGTGCGTTTCCCTTTCCCTCTCTGCACTTCCATTCTTGCCGAGCTTTCTTTGCCTGTTCGAGTGTTTTGCGCGCCTCTCCAATGGCCGTCAGGTTAGACTCTTCGGGCGCGCGTGTGCCGCGCAACATCGAGATAGGCGAGGTGTCAATTTGTGTTGCCGGCATTGTAGAAGCCTTTTCCAATGGATTGAGCATTTTCAAGCGACTGCGCGAAAGGAGAAGAAAACGCAGGTCCTCGCGGAAAGAGAGCGACACGCCTGATGCCGTCAGCGCGGCTGAGCACCAGCTGTCCAAGAGCTTACGCAAAGGGCCTAGCGAGGTGGCGGAAAAGTACGCTGAATGCTACCACAGTGGAGTAGGGCCGTGGTTCGCCAAAGGCGATGGTACGTCAACGAGAAAACAGGCACACACACACGACACAAAAAGCGCTGACGGCAACACAGCCATTGCACATGCATCCCTTGCCGAGACGCTGATCAAGCTCAACACCGGCCTCGTTGCCATCATCGCATCCTTCCTGAACCATGACCACAAGACGGGAAAGAGCAACCTAGACCTAGACTACAAGTCGCTGACCCACCTTTCCGATGCTTCACGCCGCGAGGCTCTCCACAGCCTAACCCAACTCTACCAGCGCCTGTGCCAAGCACACATCCAGCTCCAGCTCCACAAGCTGGCCGCCTCGGCCTGCCCACGCTGCGGAGCCACCAAACACCACGACTGCTCCTCACGCAGCGCCAGCCCAGACAAGGAAAAGAAAAAGCGCTCCAGCTCGTCCTCGCGCCAGCGCTCCGCAGGCCAAGTAGTCACACGCATGCCCATCAGGCATGGCAGCTCCAACCACCCCCAGCTTGTCGTCATGCGGCCCAGGCTCACTCGCAAGACTACCTCTTCAACCAACAACTCCACCGGCGTCAAGTCATCAAACTCGTCGCGCACAACCTCGCCGCTGACATCCCCTCAGCCAAAGAAGGCCCAGTTGGCATCGCCCGAGCCAAAGAAGCTCCAGCCAGCACCACAATTGCCTCTCTATGTGCCTGTAGACCCTCTTGAGCTCGAGACCAGTGGTGTCATCAGGGGCACGCTGGGAGGCGGGCCAATCAAGACTGGCACTGTCAAACAACGTGTCGATTCATTCCAAGACCCACGTGAGCCCTGGCCTCAAGAGCACCTCCACCACACCATCACCAAATCCCCATCGCCAAAGCCAAAGACAGTCTCAAGGCATGCCCAGGAGCCCACTCCCAAGCTCCCAACCTTCTCCCCCACTCCCCGCCGTGCCCCCACCCCCATTCCTACTCCCGCCCCCTCCCCATCATCCAAGCCTGCTGTTCCATCCAAGCCAGAGTACCTGTCTCCACCACCCCTACTTGACCACGCACCCGCAACTATCCACTTCCGACGCCGCATGGAAAAGGCTACTCCTTCAAGCTACACGTTTGCGTCCGACAGCACTAAGATGGGAGAGATTCCCCAACGCAAATGGACCAGTCCATTTGATTTCGAAAAGGCTGAACGGCTGAATGCCGAGGCCGCCCTCAACGGTTACCCTAATGCATCCATTGCTGCTGACAAGACCGAAAAGAGGAAGAAGCGCTTTGGCTTTATGCGCCGTGGCGACATGTAAACAAATGACGCTTTCGAGAGCCTGCTGATCAGGCTGTCTAGCATCTTTTTGTTTGTATATTTACTGTTCTTTTCCTTACTACGTCGTCGGTGATTCTGGTTTCTTGTTTGCTTTTTTACGGTTTGCTTTCAACGGGGTTTGATTTTCTTTGGTGTTGGCGTTCGCATTGGTTCGGTCCATCTCTCCTCTTTCCTTTTTCTTCTTCTCTTCACCTGTCTCTCTTTCACCCTTTTGTATTCTTTTTTTTTCCTTTCTCTCTATTTCTATCTCTGTTTCTCTCCGCTCTCAAAGACTGGCTGTTGAAGGCCCGGTAATGACGCTTACGATTCTCACGATGACGAACTACGACGAGGTTATGTCCTTTTCTTTTGTTGTCGCTTTCCATATACCCATATACCCATCATTCTATTTCTCTTGCGAGTACGTACATAATGGCTTTCGGTAGCGGGTATGAGGAAATTAATTGGATTTCAACTTTTGGCGAGGTCGCCTCTACATGTATTGCTTTCTCTGGACGTGGATACTCAATATACGTGATTTTTGTTGATTGAATCATTTCACCTGCACAATAGCTTCTTGTTGACTAGGCACATGATTGAATATGCGGTTTGGTTATTTCAACAAGATGACGACCTCACTAAGCAGTAAGAGAGTCTCTGGTTAAAGGTGTATTTTACAGGACCTGCATGATTGCACAACAGATGGGTGGTGACCATTGCCCTGATTATACCCGTGCTCGTGTATTCTCGGAAGAGTAAATCAGACTCTTGGCCGCAGACTGTCGTACAGCGCATCGGCACATACTACGTTCTAGACCCGACGTCACATCACTAGCTATTGAACACAGCGGCTCGGTTAGCCAACACAGTGACGTTAGACGTGCGCCACTATGCAAAGCAACCCCATAATGAAGTTGCGGTCAGCTGCGATGAGGCTGAGAGGGCTAGCCGTGGTACAGGAACATGGATGCGGGAGTAGCCGCGCTAGTGACTGTAATCGGCCTAGTCTCTTTTCCTCCAGTCTCCTTCTCCAACCAAACATTCCCAAGCATCATTCATTCTACCAATCCCACCCCCGTCGCCTGACACAAACTTCCCCACAATGTCTGATGCAGAACGCGCCCCGAAAAAGCGAAAGGCTGAATCCGGTGAGCGGCAAGCTGGGGGCAACAAAAGAGCCAAGGTGAGTTGTCTTTTTTTCTCTCGTGCGACGGTCAAGACTCGCCCGTCTTTGCAGTCTTGGCTTCGTATAACCGTTCTTGCTCGGCAGCTGCATCGAGTTGCGCCATGCTGAGTTGGGTGTCAGGGCAGGAAAAACTGGGATATGCCTAAGAGGGATACGTCCAATCGAGCTATCCAAGCTGGTGACGCAGGAATATGGGCAACATGCGCGATGAAGAAAGAAGCCAAATCTGTAGCCGATCTACGAGATTTATTCCAAGAGGTACGTCATGGGTGGATGCAGCAGTGAATGCGCAAAGGAATTTGATATACTGACTGCCGGTAACAGTACGCTACTCAGCTGTACGGAACGACCGAGTCTAGTGGGGCGGCTGCAGACACCGATTCCGATTCAGAAGGTGACATTGAGGCTGAAATCAACAAAGAACTCGCCGATATCCGTAAGCCAGCTACAAAGCCATTATTCACTTCAGTCAAGCTAGATACGCAATGCTGTAAGGATACCGTCCCAAGCACCCTGTTACCGATGCTGATCCCTCCAGTGGTATTCTTCAGGACGCGATCTCCATTGGAGCCCGTCTCCTTCGTCCACAAGATTTGCCAAGACATAGCTGATGGCGCTCAGCCAAAGAACCTCACCTACGTAAAACGACTAACAGCTATTACTGCTACCGCTAAAGCCACCCCTCAGGGCCTTGACAGTGTTGCTAAACAGGTCTTGGCGCCTCACTTTCACGGCCCAGATCAAGCGGGGAAAAAGGTGAGTCTGGGCGTTTGATATCAAGGAACGCGACCTCATTATGCCAAGATCCCCGCTAATGTACGATCAATAAAGTTCGCCATCCGGCCGTCCATCCGTAATAACAAAGAATTCTCACGAGATCATGTTATCAAGACGATTGCGGCTGCGGTAGGCCCTGGCCACAAAGTCGATCTCAAGAGCTATGATTTGCTCATCATCGTGGAGATCTACCAGGTATGAGGCTGTGCTTAGGAGGTGCGGAGATTTAACAGCTAATTACAGCCAACAGAATGTCATTGGAATGAGTGTCGTGGGACCTGACTATGAGAAGCTCAAACGGTTTAATATCGAGGAGCTACGTCAGCCACTGTCTTCGGCGGTGCCAGAGACAAAGGAGAATGCCAATAAGGCCACGAGCGAAAAGGTTGCGTGATCGATGTGTGATGGGTGCGAAGGGCATGGACCTGTATCATAGGTTCACGGGATTGAGGCTAAGACGCTAGCGCATCCACGTCCCCAAACTACAAATGCTCCGAATGGGGCTGATGTGGCTTGCAAGTGTAATGCCGCTTTACACGTAGAAAACAACAGAACGCCTTGTGAGACCATGGAAGAAGCACACAGCTGACCGGAAGCTGACTCAACACGCGAGCTCTCCACTGCAACTCGTCTCCGATGCTCCGGATATTAAGTCTAGGGCCTTGCTGGCGCTCTGGAATGACGCCACTGGCCATGACGGACGAGTGCCCGACGCCTGAGGATGGCCAAAGGGCTCTCTCTCTCTTTTTGGCGAGGAAGGCGTCGAACCACCAATGCATCTTGTACCAAGTTAACCCTGGGCCGAACGTCATGCATTCCTGCCGGGAGCCGCATGGTGTCCGCTTTTCGACTCACCGTCTTTCAGGATCCTTTGACATGTGTTATGGCTCAGAGATGGAGGACTGCTGCAGTCATGGTCAGTCGCGTGAATGACAAATTCCAGGTTCCGATAGGCGATCTACCTATCCAGCCGCTAGCCGCATGTGGCTATGGTTAACGAACGCTGAATGCGCCACAGCAACACGTAACGAAGGCTTCTCGCGTCCTTATCCAACTTGACACTCGTCTTTGTTAGCCCTGGCACTAGCTACACGACGCTGGAATACCCACGTTGTACGGCACATGAATGCCCCGTGGCTTGTCGGCTACAAGTCGCCTAACGGCAAGCATGGTCTGGGTGGCCTATATGCCTGCTAGGATCATCGATGTGCTGCCATGTGTTGGCGCGCTTTGCAGATAGCTATGGCTGGTGGAAGGGCCAAGTCCACGTTTCATTCACTGGAATTGGTTATGCTTGGGTTGCGTGGTTGGCTCGGCTTTGTCGCAGTTGTGTTTTTTGATTCCGGCATCTATAGGCGTGGCAGTCGGCATGGCAGTCGGCGTGACAAGACAGAGCGCCATCTCTTGATGGAAAAGAAACAAAAGATTAAGCATTACCCACGACGTGGTAGAAACACATTACTCTTTCTCGGGCCGGCCCTTTACGACTAGAATGCTTGGACCAGTATCCGCTGTGGAATCGCGCTAAGTCCCCGCCTGAACCTAGTACAGTACACAGGGAGTCGCATCATACATAATGCATCCTCCCCCGCTAGATATTGCCATTAATTCTCTCACCAACATGAGCCGTGGCACGTATGCGGTGAAGCACGTTCGCCGCTCTACATCATCGACGTCGATTTCGTCTTCGTCTTCGTCTTCGTCAACAGCAAGCACCACACTCGACATTCCGAGCATACAACGACTAGTCCGAACTGTTTTCCGGTCATCAAGAATCACTGTCCAACAAGTGGAACTCATCCAGGGCTTTCTGGGGCAAATCTACATCACCAGACTCGGCGATGGCAGCAGTCTCGTGCTCAAATGTCCACCTCGGCACAGCGTGCGGCTCCTTCGACATGAGAAGCATTTCCTCGTGACGGAACGCTCGATGCTCGAGACAATCCGCACCCATACCCGGATCCCCGTTCCCCAGCTCATCAAGTACGACTGCCATGGCGAGCCCCTCGGGACACCCTTCCTCATGATGACCCATGTACCTGGCCGGCGGCTCTCGGAGCTGGCACCGTACCTCAGTGGCAGCCAACGCAGTGCCATTGACCACACCATGGGCACGCATGTGCGGGCGCTCACGGCGCTGTCGGCAGCCCAGTTTGGCATGGCGCATCGAGTGGCAGCCAAGAAAGGCAGCAGCTCGTGGCGCGAAGCCTTCCTTGGCCTGCTTGAAGCCGCGCTGCGGGACGCAGAAGACATGCTGGTCAACTCGCATTCGGAAAGCATCCGCTACTGGATCGGTAAGCACACACACCACCTCGATGCCGTCACCGAGCCCCGTCTCGTCGCCCTCAACGCCTGCTGCCCGGACAATATCCTCGTCGATGAGCTCTCCAAACACGTCGTCGGCCTCGTCGGCTTCTCAAACGTCATCTGGGGCGACCCGCTCATGAGCGGCGGCATCGCCGGTGCCAGCGAAGCCTTTTTTGCTGGATTCGGTCAGTGTCCACCTACGACCGGGGGTGCGAGGGTGAGGATGCTGATGTGAGTAGTAGCCTACGGGTAAATGGAAGAACCTTGCCCTTTTTCTCTCTCCCTTTTCTTTCTTTCTTTCTTGTTGACTGTGTACTGACAGGTTGGGCTGCTAGATACCGGACGTACAGGGCTACGGTGCGCCTCGTCGCACACCACTATCGTCCGCATGATGGCACTGATGAGCTTGATGCAAGGCGCGAGCTGAGCCATGCACTTAACGAACTTGCAGCTGTCTGAGGCACATGCAACCAGCCCATGACAGCAATCAACGTGTAAGACGGGATGAGAGGGAGGGGAGTGAGCGGGGTGTGCTTGACGTAGGCCGCATTAATTACTGCGGTTAATGTTCTCTTTCTCTCGTTTGGCGTTGGCGTACGTACCTACGAGTCAAGGTGGCCTTGCTGGGGGGGGGGGCATCACCACACCTCATGTTCTTTTTCGTTCTGCGCAACAACCGGCATTTGATTTAACAAGGGACAAAAGAAATACACGAACAACTAAGTTTGATAGATAGATGTGAGCATGGTCATGGTCTAGGTTTTTTTTTGCACGGCGCTACAAGTGGAGGAAAGGGAGGTTTTCTTCTCGATTTTTTTTCTGCTTCTGTTTCTGCTTCTGCTTCTAAGTACTTCTTGTCTAGCCTGCATATTGCAATGGAACCTTGGAACTCCCCCAAGGAAGAGAGAGAGAAAGAAAGAAAGAGAAAAAAAAAGATAAGACTAGGTATAGCCAGGTATAGCAAGCACACCAAGCCTGTAGCTCTCACAACCCCCCCACACCCACAGACATATATGTATATGGGGGTCCCGTTTTTTTGTGTGCCGCGTGCGTGCGTGCGTTAATTCCCTCGCGCGCAAATGCTCCTCGAGGAAAGGGACATGTGAGGTGGTAAGCGATGTAACGGTATTATAATTTTTCTTATTCCCGTGGTTAGGAGTATGAATGTTATCCCTGTAAGTAGGGCTCTAGCTCTCTGAGCAAAGTAGAAAGTGTAGTCGTCAGGCCTCAGTCAGTCAGTCAGTCAGTTCCCCCCCCCTCCCAATGATCCAACAAGGGGGCCAAGGTAATAACGGCATGAACCTAAACATTTCCCCAACATATCAGCTTCGCACAAAGCATGCGTGTATGTATGTGTATGTGTTTTTTTATTCCCGTACATAATTACTTAAAGCCCCCAAAGTTTATGCATACCCAAGGAGATTTTATTCAACCATGCGCGCTATTTTTTTTCCTCCTCATGCAAGAACCGGGGGGTGGGTTGTTGTTACACCTACTGGCGGTTCCAAGGAAAGAAGATGAAGAAAAGGGCGGTTCATGGGATGACGCTAGAAGGGGGGGGGGATACACACACACACCCCTTCGCTTATGGTCAGGCAGGATTTCGACTTGGGTACAAAACTCCCCCCCCCTTCGCTTATTGTTACCCACGGCTTGCAGACGGCAGGGGTAGGCGAACGTTGCGGATTCCCGGGCGGCGCTGGGTTACGGAGCAAGAGGGAGGAGGGCTCGCCCCGATTGCGAGCATGGGAGTCGGAGCGTTGGAGGGATGCGGGAGGGATTCTGAGGCGTGGAGTTTGATTAGATGGAGGGAGGGAAAGGAGGATTATCATGCTGATGTGCATCAGGCTCGTTATACTTACTTACTTACCGCGATGGTATATCGACATAGCAATGGATGGGTACAGGACAGCAGTAGTGCCAGCGTTTGTGCCACTATCATGCATGTTGTTTTCACCCGCGACTCTGGCTAAACAGATATGCCTCTTTTTTATTTCTTCCCCTTGTCTAAGCGGTCTGATACCACATCTATGTCTACACACACACACACACACACACACACACATACCCATTCATCCAGCAAGCCCAAAGCTCAGCGCTCGCTCCACAGCAGCCAGCGTCGCCAATCTCCCAAAATCCGATGCCATGTCAAACCAGAAAAAGAAAAAGAGAAAAAAAAAACATGTCACAGATTGTTACCCACCACCACGGAACAGCAAAATCGCTTACCCCTGTCTTTCTGAAGCCCAGTCCACCCACACATACATATGCTGTATGTATGTACGCGCTCATACACCTACACAGGACGGGCAATGCATTTCTAGAATGCCCAGACAGGGGTAAGCGAGCGAGACGCTCGGATGGGCCGCATATCCAGTGGCCCCCCTACATGTACCTTGCCTTTGTCCTTGTCCTTGTCTTTCTCTCTGTGTGTGCTCTATCTATCTATCTATCTGTTCTCTCTCGTTTTTTTTCTCTTTCTCTCTCTCTCTTCCCAGCACCAGGCTAGACTCCACGCGACGCTACCGCTACCGCTACCACGACGCCCCGGGCAGCGCAGCAGTTTGGCTCCGAGAGAACAAGCAAGCGAGTGAGTGAGTGTGAGCGTACGTGCGTTACCGCCCTATCGTCGGGGACGCGGCAGACAAGCGGAGCTCGCTTGATCATGCTGTTTTGGGATTAGTCGCTGCGAGGGGTAAGCGAGAGCGGGGCTATGGCTATGGCTATGTGTGTGTGTCTGGATGAATGGTTGGATGGATGCATTATAGATGCATTAGAGATATGTGGATGCATTGTAGACCGGTGGGTGGATGGGTATGCATCCATGTGCATGCACATGTGCATCTATGTATGTATGTACGTGTGCGGACCCGCTGTTTTCGCACGAGCGAGCAACGAGAAGCATCAAGACCCGGGATAGGCGTGGTCTTGGGACTGCGATAGAAGAAGCTTGGTAGGCAGTATAGTATGCGGCTTTTTTTTGGTTCTTTCTGGAAAATGGGCTGATTAGTGTGGTGTGGGCTATGAAGGGTGTGCGCTTTGAACAGTGGTGCTTGGGGGTCATTGGTGGAGGAATGCGAATATCTTGCTAGGAGATGATGAGGAGAGAGAAAGAGAGAGGGGTTCATGGGTTTTCTTGCCTTTTGACGCGGTTTTCTCCGGATTATGCTTGTTGTGAGTGATGCGTAGGGCTTGTGAGGTGGAAGTAAGTAGGGGAGGTTGAGCGAGGCTGAGATTTCGGTATAGCGCTTTCGTATCAAAGGGCCTTTTGATGCTACCTAACTTGGCATATGTAGGTATAGGTACCTGGAGATGTAACGTTGCAACAATGTGCATTTTGCACAACATGTTGCTCTGGCTATAATGCAATACCTGAGCAACTTGTCTTTAGTGTACAAGATAGTTTTAACGTTGGTAACAAGATACCCGTGTCATCTTTACATCTGTTCAAACATGTAGAATCTAGCTTCGCTGCACCGAGTTGTGTGAAATGGAGAAATTTCTGTATTAGTATACGATGGACAAATGAGCCTCACTGTAACTGGCATGAAATAACCAAGTTAAAAAAAATTATACATGTTACTAGTGGAACTAGAAATCTACAACAAATACACTGCCATATTGAGGAGAAGAAGAAGAAGAAGAAGAAGAAGAAACACAACAAGCAAAACTGCACAAAAAAGCCTTGATAACATTTCCTTTACGGTCACAACTACATTTTGTGCAACACAGCACTCCCTAGTCAAAACGCTGACACGCACACAGATACTTGCATAACTTGTAAACAGCGCCAGCACACACACACACACACACATCCATCACACCACTCTCTCTCACTCAGCCCCAAATCCCCGCTGGTTGAAAAAAAAAGATTACCACCTCAAAAGACACCTGGCCACCTCTTCTAACGAAATCGTGCTAGCGCCACTCGCTGTGTTTCCTTCTTCCTTACTTTCAACAACGACGACGTGGATGCTGCCAACCGTACGGCACAGTTGCATGCCCCTTGTCGAGGTGCTACATAGCGTGACTAATCGCGACTGGTTGTCTAGAATAAGTCGTACGACATCCTGCTTCTAGGTGTAGTGTGTATGCTGTTGGATGGAAAAGGGTATGAGATACGTCATTGTGATGGAATTGCAAGTAAGCGTTATTCCTTTTTTCTCTCTTCCTCTGGGGTTTGCCGGGTTGTGGAGCGAGGACGTGAGATGATGGTAATGATGTTGCCATGGGAGAGGCTAGGGAAAACAGGGATTGCAATGCGTTTTTTGCTGTGCGAATGGGTTGGGAATGGGGATGGTGCGGTAGTAATATGTATGATGGAAGATGGTCGGGATAGCCCTGTGTATCTGCTATGTATCAAGGTTGGACAAAAGGCATCGACATGGAATTCGCACAAAACACGGGCTAGAAAGCTGAAATCGAGTAATAGAGGTTTACGCCGCGTGTGAAGATTCAACTGTAATTTCATTCTTATTCGGTAGAATAAAGATATTCCAAACTCACACCGACACTCACAATCATTCAGTCTGCCTCATCAACCGGTCTGTCTCGAAGTGAACAACGCAGATGAACTCTTATGCCTAAAGAACTTGCTGTGATCGCTTCCTGGCGCCTTGAACGGCCAACTCTTGTATGCCTCCAACAGTTCACTGATCATTTCCGGTGTCAGCATCCTCACTCTCAAGTGCTTCATCTGCAATCTGCCACCCTTTTTTGGATCCTTCAGGCTCGGACACTCCTCGATGATGTCGCTGAGTCCGTGTTGCATCTTGTCGAGAGCCTCGACTATGTTGTCTACGGGCGCGGCAAATAGCCCAGTTATAAAGTCTTGCAGCCACTCAAAGTAATCGGGGAATGGACCAGCAGGCTGGGGGATGGGCTCCGTGGAGATGAGAGAGAGACGATTCCTTGGCCAGGCTTCGTTCGTGTGCATGGTGAGGGGCTCAAATGGCCGCGCATCCCATTGAAGACGTGGGCTAGGGGGCGCGCGTATAGCCAGACGGTCGTCGAGCTCGGATGCCGGTGCACGAAAGTAATTCCCAGGCAATTTCTCGTTGCCCTTTTCCCAACTGGTGTTCAATTCCTCCAACCTTGCCAATGCAGCATTTTTCTTGGGCCCATCTTTCATGCCGAGGATCTTGCATTCGAGATTATACATGGCCTCGCCAATGTCGGCTATCGCCTCAATCTGCATCTTTATTCTTTGGGTGTGGTACACATTCGCAGTGTTTCTCATGTAATCATGAAGAATATCCTTGCCTGGGTGGTCTGCTGGAACGGAACGTTTGACCCCCTTGACATCCGAGACTGATATTCCTGGAGGGATTTCGATATCGGGATATTGGTCTAGGATAATTTGTTCGTTTTCATAGCGCTCAAGGAGACCCTCGCTAAGCAAACCAATAGCAGGCTTGCCGGCTGCATATTGTTCGTGGAGGTAAAGATGCATGTCGGCGCTCTTGGTTATGCCTGTGCCATTGGTAATGCGCTCAATATCATCAGCAAAATCATGGATGTAGTCGCGCCGATGCGAAGGCAGCTCCATGCCTTGGGCTCTACCTCTTTGCAAGGCGCGAACGGTGCCCTCAATTTCATATTGGGGCTCGCGTCCTGAAGACGCTTTGCCCATTTTTCGTGCGACCCGCTCCCCATTCACAATCAGATGGCTTTTCTGCGTCATCTCCATGAATCGTGGGTTTCTAGACAGCGTAGTGATAGAGTCAGCCACTGAAGGACCAAAATCATCGTGTTGCATCCATAGCAGAGTGCGGGCTAGACCATAGGCATGGATCGTGTCGTTGCTCCGAGCGGTGGAGCAAAGAAGATAGTAAATTTGTCTAGCCATTGAGTCCAGGCCCATACCCAGCAGAGGAGGATCCCAGACCAAACAGCCCGTCACCAACATCGAATTGTTTGGCTCCTGGGCCTTTGGGTCTCGTGGATCTAGTATAGTCTGGTGCGGGAAGAGACCATCTGCGACCAAGTCTCTGATTACTTGGAGATTGGACACGTCCTTCTCTACAAGCGAGTACTTGGAGCCGGGCGCTTTGAGCAGAGGGTTGAGATAATCCTGAAATTTTTCGAAGTTGGGTTCAACCAACACATGGCTTCGTGGTTGGAGGTACTCGTGAAGTTTCTGCGACCAGAGCCCATTGCCGGGATAGAGGTCAAGGATGTCGCACCCTTTGTGCTTGTCTAAGGTATGGCCGACGTATTTGAGCACGTCGTCTGCACACATGCAGCGTCAGTCTCAGTCGAGCCAAGTATACAACTTGGGGGCGCGACATACCACACAGATCAGGACTTACAATCTGTGCTCGAACATGAACGCCCCCCGCCATGGCCGAGGAACCTGCGTTTACGTTTCTTTTTCTCTTGACTTTGGGTTCAAGTGAAGGATGTATCTTGTCCTTCATGTCGAAGCTCAATGGATATTTCTCCTCTGTTGCCAACTTCTCTTCGCTCCAGTAGGTGACCGCGCCTCTTGGGCGCCCGCCCTTGCCGCCATGTTTAATGCTAGCAAAGCGCGTCTGGCCCCGTTGAGAGAAGGTTGCACTCACTCGCCAGAGAGGATGCGACGTAGTCGGGCGTATGCGAATCATCAAGGCGTGCGGTGGGGTGAGTGATGCGCTTTGCCATGAAGTTGGGGCGCCGCAGGGATTTACGCCACTTTGAGATCAGTAGCGCGCTTATCTGCACGTGATCACGCGTGCAGGACTGGAGCCGTGCATGGCCCACCTCGCTGGTAATTCTACGAATAATCATATGCACGTCAGAAAGCAACCGGACGGGACCAAGTGTCATCAGGTGACCACGCTCGCTTAGTGGTACATGATGCATTTGTCTTAGAATAGAAGGTGGACAGCAGCACACAATGAGGCCTCCAAGATCACTAAACAGCCTCATCTTCCCTCGCCACCATGCCACAGACAAGTCATAGCAACCTCCTTATTATAGGTGCTGGAACATGGGGGTGTTCTATAGCCCTCGAGCTTGCTCGGCGTGGCTACACTTCCATTACTGTACTGGATGGCAGCTCATTCCCTGCTGACATCTCCGCCGGCAACGACCTCAACAAAATTGCCGAGGAGGCAAACGAGCCGTCGGAATCCGACAGTGATGAAGGCTACTTCTGGAACCGGATGACTCAGCTCGCAATGCACGCTTGGAAGCACGACCCCCTCTTCTCATCCTTTTACCACGATACCGGCTTCATCATGTCCGCTGTGGGTGATGCAGCATACGAGCGCTGCAAAGAGTACGCGAGGACGGAGAAAACCACCCCCGTGGCTCTGAACAGCAAAGAGGATTTTCAGTGTACGATGCCGAAAGACGTGCTGCAGGGCGAATTTCCGGGCTGGAGGGGCTTTTGGAAGAAACAAGGTGCGGGGTGGGTGTTTGCAAGTGGCGCTTTGCGAGCCATGCACAATGAAGCGGTAAGACTAAGCGTGAGTTTTGTGACAGGAGATGCTGGCAAGGTGCAAGAACTACTGTACTCTTTAGATAAGAGTGTCGTTCTGGGAGCGAGGGTCGCAGATGGTGCCGAATACGTTGCGAAGCACACGATACTAGCAGCCGGCGCCGGCAGTGATCTGCTCCTAGACTTTGAAAAGCAACTTCGGCCTACAGCATGGACACTTGCACACTTACCCCTGTCTGCAGAGGAGGCAGAGCATTATCGTAACCTGCCTGTGCTGTATGGTGTAGACCGAGGCTTCTTTATCGAGCCTGACATGGAAAACCACGAGATGAAGCTTTGCGATGAACATCCCGGATATATCAATCCGGTCATTAGCAATGGCGAGCTGCGCTCAGTCCCATTTGCACGCCATCAAATACCCAAGGAGGCTGAAGCACGCATGCGTTGCCTTCTCGCAGAGACAATGTCGCAGTTCGCCGAGCGCGACTTCAGCTTCGCACGGATATGTTGGGACACAGACACTGTCGACCGTGTCTTCCTCATTGACAGGCACCCCAAGATTTCAAGTCTTATCGTAGCCGTCGGAGGCTCTGGTAATGGTTTCATGGCATGTCCAGCCATTGGGATGCTTGTTTCTGACGTCTTCGAGGACAAATGTGAAACGAGGCTCAGGGAGACGATGAGATGGCGACCGGAAATCAGCATAGACAGAGATTGGTGGGATGCACAGGGCAGGTATGGTGCCCATGAAAAGGTGATGGATTTTCGAGATGTAGATGAGTGGACTACCATAGGCGTGTAGTTTGTTTCTGTTGAGGTCAGCCACACGCAACTGTATCATCTTGGATTATAGGTTTCTACTTGTGCATATCATTATGTGCTAATAAAAGCCGCTTTTCCTCAGTAGAAAAATCAAAAATGTTGTTTCAATTGTGAGATAGTCTGAGGTTACGAGGCAGACAGGCGGATGCTTGAACAAAGTACGAGTGTCAATGGCACAGGCATACACGACAAATTCTCGCTGGAGTGTAGGAGAATTCCGCAGAAGCTACATGGCTCAACCAGGACGCCCCTGTTCACCGACGATGTGTCGGCACTTCTCTGTCGGCGGGTTTGTAGCCTAAGAATAGTAGCTGGGTCAAGTCTCACCGGTGCAAATTCTGCTTGCCTTTGACACAGTTGGCCACCGATCTAAGCATTTGCACAGCAGCACCATAGGCTCAGCCTTGATGTAGAGTTTGTGGGTTCCCCGTGCAAAGCTCGGGCTGAGCCTCTTCAGGCACCCAGCGGATTGCTTTTGCGGTTGGTCAGGCATCCAACAACGACCGGGTAGATGTCCCCTTGCATAGTCTGACCAACACAGACTCCGCTTTTACGCAGACATCAGATAGATATCCGCCGATCCACGTGGGGACCGGTGTACATAGGCGCCCAGGCGTTGGATGGGGAATGACAACTACAAAAATTGCGTACGTCGCCGAAATGAAAGAGGGCGAGGCTGTGCGGGTAAAACGACGGACACCGCCACGTTTTGTGGTCCTCTTCCTTCCCGCTCGTCCCGCTCGTCCCGTAGAATGCGTTGTGGTTGCAAAAAGCAGCGGTGACTAATAATAGACGTAGTAGACAAGATCCAAGGTGAAGAGTGAGGAGGGCGAAACCAGTCAGTCTGATAGATTCGTGGCTCGATATGACAGGCTATTATGCTGGACAAGGTCTAAAGTTTGGATTCGGCGACTTTGTCAAATCGGCCAAGTGAGCATGTCAAAATTGGCGCACTTTTGGCTGGAGTGGCGTCCCATCCCACAGTCACTTTGGGGCCAAGTTGTCAGTGGCCACTCAAGGAAGCACCTGCAGCCGTCTGTTTTGTACACAACAGGGGTCCGGTGCGGGAAAAGGTCCTATTGTCAGTGTTAACGGCTTCTTGGCATTGAGCCGTTTGCTCTGTCACTGTCTCGATCGCGTACCTGTCCACTAAAATCAATTCTGGTGGGCAGTCTGCCATTCTAGCTTCATGCTTGCCATTTGGTGAGGTCTGAAGATTTGGAATAACTGGATATTGACTTCTGGACCGGTTAGAAGTGGTCTGACCATTGGCCGCGCAAGGAAGAGCCGTCACGGAGAGCCCGAGAACGGGTTGCATCCTTCAATCTTGTTGGTTTTGATCAACACGTCTGGAGAGTTCTGGGCGGCCTTTAACCATGCTTCGGGGGGGCCATGGACCCGGATACAGGCTGGCGGAAGTTTGTAGATTCCAAGGACCGGGGAGCCCACAAGTTGATACTAGTCATGTGGTAGTCAGGGTCCGAGGAAATTGATTGAAGTTTAGGCATCATCTTAGTTGCACTGTGCTGCTGGAGTGTGAAGTCGGCCTTGCCCGGGCCTGGAGGGGTCTCAGTCCCCCGCCGGGCAAACAGAGACACTGCCATGTAATCCGAGGATACGAGAAGACAGAGGCCATGGGCATGAGTAGTTGCGGGGTCAGCAGCTGGACAAGTGTCGGCCTGTAATTTGCATCAAGTCAGTGAAGTGGAATGCTGCTATGCGCACGTCCTGCGGGCTGTGTGAGGAGTAGGCGATGTGAGTTTGTGGAATGACGGCCTCAGGGCCAACGAGGCAAGGTTCAACCTTGGAGCACGGCAGTGGCTGGCACAGAGAGGAGCAGAGCTGATATGCGTCGGGTGCGGCTCGCCGCGGTGTTGGCTGGACGGAGTTATTGCAACGGGCAAGCAGCGTCCAATGCAGTTGCGCAGGACGCTTCTCTGCACGACAGCGTAACCGCCTCGACACGGCTCTGGCGCTTCGACGAGAGGTGTAGTGTGTACATGGGCGTTGGCCAACGTGTGGAGCCGTGGGCATGGCATGGCATGGCTGAGCTAGTGTGGGAGCCCGTTGGACATGTTTCTTGCTTGGCGCCGCCGCCATGGCGGAAGCAACAGGCCGCTCTTGAGCTCGGGGTTGAGTGAGCAGCACGAGTCGTGATGTGCAATGCAATCAAACGGGTGTCGCAGATGTGCGGACAAGGGCAGACGGTTGCCTGGCCAGAGACGGGCTGTGGGCTCAGCGACAGACATCAGACGAGCAGAGGGCCGGGTTGAAACGTCGCTTGGTCCGGGCCTGCTGGGAGAGGGCTTGGGGGGTGGAGAGGTGGAGGGGTGTAGGGGAGGGGAGGAGAGGTAGGGGAGGGGGGGTAGTGCAGCGCAGCGGCGTGCAGTGCAGTGCAGCACGGGGTTAAAAATACCACACAGCACAGCAGCGCAGCGCAGCACACGCACACTCACGCACGCGCACACGGGACCCGGCCCCCCCCAAGTGCAAGAGCAGGTAGCGCGGGGCGAGGCTGGTCCATGCGCCCGCCGCCCGACCACCATCGCCAAAATTTTGCCGGCGTACGCGACTCACCACCCTCAGGCCGCTTTTCGTCACCGTCGCTCCCATGCTGCGATCGGCAGTCCATCATCTCCAAAGCCATGGAAATGCACATGTCGCTGCCCCTCACCTGCTGCCGCGCTCACGACTGGCGCTCCACCACCCACCCTGGTCGGCACATGTGGCTTGCCAGTGGGAGCCTGCTCCCCACCCCTTCACCACCACCACCACCACCACCACCACTGCCATGACGGCACTCTCGCTGGACATCTACGCTCGCCCGCCCATGGCTGCCCAGCTGCCCGCTGCCAGACGCCCGGCGGTGACGCAACCCAGCAGCACCAACACGAACGGGCATGGGCCGACGGATCGTGGGCAGCGTGCGTCGCCATGTATGCAGCATGTAGGCTCGTAGCCGAAGCGCTGTCAGCCGCCCGTTGCTGGGCTGGCCCCCCTCCGCCGCCGCCGCCCCAGGTCACGCCTTGACGGCATGAACGTCGTCGACGGGTCGTTCCCAAGCGAAATGGTGCAAGCTTTCACATTACAGTAGACTAGGCCCAGTTCGGCCGCCTCCCAGGCCAGCGCTAGAGCGGCGCGCTCGCCATCAGGGCGGTACCTTCATTCCACCCAGGATTAGCCAGCTAGCCGGCCCGCGAGGCTCACTCGCTCTCCACCGCAATTGTGAAAGGGTTATGCACCCAGCCTGGAATTGGTCCTGCGCCTGCCGCCTATGGAGCGGTATCAAAATTGGGAGGCCAGCGCAGCAGAGCCTTAGCCAAATCACCCACGCTCGATAATCACCGCCGGCACTGCTCCCTGATCGGATGTGTGACCCGAGTAAGACGTCTCCTCCGGGGCTGCCCAAAAAGCTTCGTCTCGACTGCCTGCGCCTGGCATGCTCTTTGGCTTCAGTTGCTCACTGACATCACCTGTGCTGCTGGTGCTGCTGTTATCTGTTATTACCACAACGACCCCCCCGTCGCCAGGCTTGCCCCCAGGGCCCAAGTGGAGTCTCAGGCACGGTAACCACTTTACAACACCGCCACTACCCGCCACGCCCTCTCGTCAAAGTCTCACAAGCCCCCCCCCCAGCCTTACCGTTGTGGAGAGGGCCCCTAGTGCGCTGCCGGGCTAATCCTGTACACCCCGGACTAGCAGCCTTACCATACCCTATGTATACCCTAGAGCCTGGGTCTGTGCCTTAAGACTGGATCTTTCTCACCCATCTGCTGGACCTCCCGCTTCGAACGCACTGGCCTACTCTCTCGCATGATATACAACCCTCGTGTGCGTCGGTTCACGACCATTTCAAGACCGCCACAGCTCCCTTGTTGACCACACTCCCGCCCTTCTGTCCACCACCGCCGCGCTCCCCAAGGATGACTTTCTTCTCTACTGAAGCAGAGCTAGCCCTCATGGCTCCTGACGACGGCATGGCTCATCTCTACCCTCCCTCGAGTACATGCCACTCGCCTCCAGGCATCATGTACTCTCCTCCGCTGCAACACATGACACACCGGCCACCAACCACCATGGCTGCCAACGGCGGCATGTACACGCCACCCCACGACTTCAGGCCCATGATGGACTCGCCCTATCCTCCCCACACCTTCTGGTCATCGCAGCCGCAGTCGGTCCCGATGGCTCAAGTCTCGTCGTACGCCTACCCGCCGTACACTGACATGTCATCGCCCCCCATTCTTTCCCATGACTCCACGCTCCTCTCACAATACCCCGGCGCCACTCGACCGTCAAGATCGCACTCGACATCGTCGTCGGTGGGCCATGGCATGGCATCCAGCGTGCCCTCGGAGGCATCGCCACCTGCGCTGTCGCGGTCTCTTTCGCCCTCATCGCCCGACCTGCGGGCCTATGGCATCCCCAACAAGAACGGCACATGGAGTTGTGCGTACCCAGGATGCACGTCAAGAGCAGTCTTTACGCGGGGATGTGATCTTCGAAAGCACCACAAACGACACACCAAATCCTTCTTCTGTCGCCACAACGACTGCCCACAGTCGCAGGGTGGGGGCTTCTCGAGCAAGAAGGATCTTGCCCGACACGAGGCCAAGCACAACCCAGGCGTCTTGTGTGATTGGGATGGGTGCGACAGAGTTTTCAGCCGCGTGGACAATATGGTAAGCTTATTGGCGCTCCTTTTTGTGATGACAAACATGGCGCTAACGGATGGCAACAGAGAGACCACGTTAAGAGGATACATCTCAAGGCTTCGCGCAAGTCGTCGACGACATCAACATGATGGCAGTGGGCCGAGTACCCTGTCAGCTTTCACTTTCGTTCAAGATACCCTGATTTTTACATCGGTCGCTATTACTATGATTCATTTTTTTTCTCTTATTAAGTATTGTCGAGGGCTGTAGCGCCTTTCGCCAATTGCATTGCTATGGCGTTTCACCAAACTAGAGCATGTTGCCTAGAGTTGTTTGGACTACCCCAAGGAGGGATGCATCACGGACATGAGAAGCTTGTTGGGATATTGGATGTGTATAAGGTGCATATGGCGCGCTACTGGCTAGACTAGCTTGGCACAAGCGACGTTTGGTGACGGGCGGGCTTTTTTTTTCAATCACACGTTGTTGCAAACATGCATATTGACTTGTTCACGGTCCCCCTTTATTTTTATATTTTTAACTTTGGGATGGATGATTTTGCACAAGCACTCAGACTCAGGGCGGTGATGACCAAGCGTACGTCATACGCGAAGGTGGATTACACAGCATCAGGCGAGAGAGAGAGACGGACAGGAGGCCTAATTGTGCTTGACAAGGCTGACTTGACGGCCGCCCCGTCGAGTCAAGTGGGCCTGCGTCTGTCAGGGCTCTGGGCAAAGTCACATGGTGTTTGTCTCGTTTGCGTAATTAATGCTAGCGAGCGTCTTGCTCCGTGGGGCACGTGACGGGGGGGGAGGGGAATGCAGAGATGGTACGTTTGCGTTCGGCGATCGAAGCTCAGTAGCCGCTCCGCCCGTGCCCATCATGGCCAAAACCTTATCGAGTCACAAGCAGCGGCCGGCGGGCGACGACATGGCCCTACCCGAAAACACGGGCGATGCGATGCGGTGCGGCTGGGACACCAAGCAGGCGGTTGTGGCTATGGCCATGGGGCCCAACGGGCAGCGTTAGGCTTCCCCCCCCCCTCGGCCCCCTCTCCCCCTCCCCCATTCCTCGTGTCGCCGCCATTTCCAGAAGGCATAGAAGGGAGCAGCCAGTACAGTCAGAGCATGTGCACGTCAACGGGGATTCGGATGACAGAGGGCTAATTACGTTGGAGGGGCGGTGCAGCGAACTCGGTGTTTTGCAGAAGCATGCTTTTTTTCCATCACATGGGGCTGCACATGGACAGGACCCAAGCGGTTGCATGCCGCGAGGCTTGCCTGCGTTAGAGGTTTAGCTGGTCGCACGCACGCACGATGAGATCGACTGCATGGCGAGGGGGCCGAGGGGGCATCGAATGAAAAGCCTGCAGTCAAGCGCTCGTTGTTGTTTCGTCCAACACATGGTCGCGCTAGCAGCACTATGTGAGTGTGAGTGTGTGTGCGCGCACAAACAATATCATCATGGGGGGCCAAGGAAGGGGGGGAGGGGGGCTACGGCTCAATAGCGTGTCGAGGTAGCGGTGGTACTTTTTTCTTCTTCTCCTTCTCCTCCGCTTTGCATAGGCTGGTATGATGTGGTGGACAATGTGGCAGCCCAGTGGTGTGTATGTGTATGCGAGGTTACGGCATATGTTCCGGGCGGCAATCCTGCGCCGTTTTGATGCGGCCGTTTTAGCATGCAACCACGCGATGTCCATGTCGACGGCACAGGCAAGACCAGGGTTCTGGTCACACGGCGCGCACCCATGGCGGCGTGCAAACCGCGACTTTGGATTCGCTTGGTGCGATCGCCGGCGAGGAGCTGGCTGTGCCGCCACGAGGTGGCTGTCTGCAGTCGTCACCGCACGTCGGTGCCTAGACAGATGGGTAGATGGATAGTCGGAGTAGTACATAGATGTGTAGACAGACAGATGGGTAGGTAGACGGAGGCATACTTTCACTTTCCACGCACATGGGCGACCCCTGCCAGCACCGGTCAATGGGCCTGTTCCGATAGGGTCTAGAGGCAACTCCGCTCTTCTCCAGTAGCCTATCCATTTGCTGGGTAGAGCAGATCCGGGTCGCGCTAGCAGAACCCTCATTTCTTCCCTTGCACTGGGTTGCTGCTGCTGCTGCTGCTGCGCTGGCGTGGGCACTGGTGCTGGTGCTGGCGCTGGTGCTGGCGCTGCCTGTCCCGTCCTGTCCTGGCCATCTGCGACTCCCGTAGCCCCCCCCCCCGACATCCGTCCCACGCCTGCTGCCTGTGTCGTCATCGCCGCCCATGGCTTTCCATGCCGCTGCCGCTGCCAACTTGTTTCTGCCTGCACCTGCCGCCCCGCTACACCAGCCCAACCCCTCCCCCCCCCCAACGACAGCTACACCATTGCCATCACCACACCCACTCCCGCCAAGCCCGCTGTCTGCACCCTCTCGGCCCATCTCTGCTGCCACATCCACCACTTACTTGCACCTCCACCCGCCCCTCGGCCAGCCCATAGACACGCCGCCCGTGCGCCAGTATGGGGTTGCCATGGTGAGAACCCTGAGGAGGATCAACGGTTTTGGGAAAGCATTGCGGCCGCGGTGCCAGCGCCCTGCATTCCTCCAATGGCCACGCCCGCTTTCCCACCCCCCCGTTGGCGCGCCACTTTTATCACCACACCCGTCGACGGGTTTCACGTGTCCTAATGCGGCCACCACGACGACGACGAGCGATAGTGATAGCATGCTGAACCACGGCCGACCGCGCTTCCGACCGATCGTCGGACGTCGGCCAGGGGCTCCACAATTCGCGCGCTGCCTGTCACGTCCGCTCCGACTCTCGTGGCCCTCCCCGGATATAACGCGCTGCGAATGACTCGGACAAGGGCAACACTGCTATGACCGCGCCACGCTGCAGTGGCCGCCGTGTATCGTCGCCAGCACCCTCGTCTCGTCCCTCGGTCGTCCAGGCCATGGCTGCCACAACATTGGCCCAACGACTCGCTTGACTCGCCTGCAGCCCTTAACACGTCAATTCCGCGCATTGCAACGCCGCCAAGCCGAGGTGGAGACGTGGCGCGGAATACTCTAGGGGCGCGGAAAAACAGGGAGCATGGGCACTTGTTCCTGAATGCATTTCCTCAAACATGCCTCGCGCCCACCTGGACGGGGGGAGGCGAGGAGAAGGGGGACCGTGGGCCACTGGCCAGCTTCCGCGCGCGCCTAGTGCAAACCTCGCTGCACTGACAGCATGCATCTTGACCGCAAGGGAAGGTGGCAGAGAGCCATGGCAACAACTAGACCCTCGCCGCCCGCCCCACGATGCACGTCTTGCTAGGTGTAGAGAGAAGGAAGCAAAGAAGAAAAAACCTGCGAGTTGCCCTCTTGCTTCACCACGCAGCACTGCCGACCCGACGGCGCTACAAGCACAAGCACACTTCTCAATGGTTTCTCCACGGCTGCATGCAGCCCGGCATGAACCCTGCATATTCCTAATCGGCTGCAGTTGAGTCAATCAGACGCTGGTGGTGGAGAGCATTGGACGGCGCACCACTCCCGCCGTGTGCTACCCAGGCTGGGTTTGTTTTTCGCAACGCTGAATTGCTAATTTCTGTGGGGTAATTTCGCTCTCGACACGGCTTTCAAAGCCGAAGCTATCAGAACATGTAGCGCGGTGGTGACATAGCGCCTGAGCACCATTGGCCCAGCCAACGCGTGCACACAGTGATTGTGACTTTATTGTCATGTTGCCGCTCCCAAGGCGACATGTCACCGGCAGTGTCAGGGAGAAGATGGCAGACAAATGAGATCATCTCCTTTTCTCTGCAGCGGTACAGCGCCATCACCCGCAGAGGCGTTTTCCTACATCCCGACGCTGTGGTCAGCGGAGGATTTTGTTTTGCTTCCCGGAACCCAGAGAACAAGAGCGAACGACGTTCAGTCGACACAAGTCATGGCCGAGTCACAGAACATGGGCAAGTCCGAGCATTACCTGAAGAAGAAAAAAAGCAATATCCAAATTGATAGTCTTACAACGGCGTCTACGATACACTGCTGGTTCCGCTGAACTATTCTTTGCGTTCAAGGAATAATCACAACAGATGATGCAGGCAGAATGCACCATGTGCCGCATATACACCTGGCGGGTGGCATGACATGGATGCCTGGACTACTATGTAAGCCCAGAAAGAGGTTATGCAGAGAAGCATATACCAGACATGCAGTCGGAGTCTGCCCACGAGAAAAAATCATGCAAAAAGCGTCGAATGACTTGGTGGAACAGAGACAAGCCAGCGTACTGACTCAAAGATGCACCTTTGCCATTCAGACGCGAAGAGTTGTCCGTGACTTTCTCAAACTACACATCATCTGAATGCCATGTTTCCTTTGTCTCGGGACAGGCAAGCAGGGCAGGCCAGCGGCGCCGCAACGCCGCAGAATCGATCTCGCAAAAGTCCCATCCTTCAGGATGCAGCCCCCTCGGAATTTCCCCACCACATCTATGAATATGTACATACTTGCCTCGTTCACACAGGCACAACGCCTCCATCCAGCCTCGATGGCTAACCGCAACGGCCGGACTCCCATAATAACCACAGCACCACACATATACACGCATCCCAGCACCCCTAGCGCCGTGGGGTCCGAAAAACAGAGTGATTCCTCATGGCATAGGCAGGAATCCGCCCGCCCACGGTGTGCCATTACGCCTTTCCCACCCGTCCACATGCACATGGACATGCACCCACGCCCCACCCCCTGCGCCCTCGCGCACGGACCAGTCCAAACCCACAGCCCCGGCTGGCACCCACACACATAACGCACACGCCCCTGCTCGCATGCGTGCCGCGAAGATTACCAGGATAGGCTTGATGCTGCGAGGTCTTGGCACTATGCCTGAATTGGACCACCGGCCTGTGTCGTTCTAGCCTGCTCCCTGGCCATGTCGCGCATATGCCGCCTCGCCGCTTTTACACAGGCCCCAGTTACGTAGCACCAGCGAACGGAAACGAACGGGCCAATCAGCAAAAATGCAGGGGTAAGCGGGCTGCTGTATGGGCGCAGGGGGGGGGCAAAGGGCAGTTTTCCTCGCACTCGGAGTCTACCCTAGGTGTACTTTGCGTGCTTGCGTGCTGCCTTGGCCTCTTTTCGTGCCTCTGGTACTGCGGTCCGGGCCCATGCATCCACTCTTTTTTTTTCTTGTCTCGATCTTTTTTCCCTTTTCGCTCAATTAGGGCGCGTGGGTGTACTTGAGTGGTGTGATTTTTTTTGTGGTATTTACTTTTTGGCTTTCCTATTTCCTTTTTCGGAGCGGTTCGCTGGGGCTGGAACGTTTGACAAAGTGGGGATTCGGCTGGGGGTGCTGTCTCTTTTTGCCTTTTTGCTGGCTGCGCTTCGTGGTGTTGCTTTGTGCACAGGCAGTGCTGAGTCTTGGGGGGGGGGGCGTGCTCGTGAGCTCATACATACAGATGGATATGTGTTTCCGGAGCATCGGGGTGTCGGGTCGCGGGTCGGAAGAGGCTATCTTGCTTAGAATAAACATATAGACCATGTGAGATGTGTGTATTACCCGAATGTTGGTGTTGTAAACCAATATGGCATGGTTCCTCAGTGCTTCTCCATCACTCCACCATCTTTCATGATCGTCGCGTTCACTCTTGCGTTCAGCTCACACGTGTTTAAAGGCCATAGCACGCTGGATACATCCGCCTGCACCATGTTTTCCCCACACAACCAAACACGAGGCAGATTCCATTGCGGCTGTGATTTTTTTTTCTTTCGCAAACTGTAATTGCACTTGGCTCGTAGCCAAGCCACCGCGAGAACCGATGGTTTCGGGCCGTTGTATTACAATTGTCGTAGTCATCTCGTCTCTCCACCTATCCGGCCACCTACGTATAGCATTTGCCTAGATAGGACAATAATGTCCGCGATGCGCTTCAGCTGCCCTCATCCACGCCAAGCCAGCAACTCTCGTACCACACCTGCGCGCGCACACACACACACACACGCCGGGAGTATCTCGTTGCAACACGAAGACAAAATTACCGTCTAGCGACATGCAGAAAAACAAGAGCAGGAAAACTCTGCATGTGCTTGCATGGGGGTCTAGAAGTTTGGAAAATCAGTCAATCAATCAATCCATCCATCAATCACGGCGAAATAACCATTTTGAACAGACACGGCAGTTGTTTTGGCAGCATCAACCTTTCTCACCCGCCCCCCAAACGAATAAGTACATACCATGTGTTAAACCCAGCATCCTCACATAGCCCCTCGCAGCACCACTATCCAAAAGCGGTAACCCAGCACCCCCCAGCAACAACAACAACAACAAACAGCCCAACATATCCTACAGTTAACGTACGTGGGCAAATCCGCAACGCGTGTGAAAGGAAAAGGGCCCCAGCACCCAACATGGATAAAACAAGCGAGAAGGGGAAAAAAAAATAAGGGGTGCACGGTGTCGGTACCCGACTGTATTGTACTGTATACCAAACGAGTTTGGAAGCGCGCGCCGCGATTCCCAGTCGGACCGAAGCCGCAAGGGAGAGAGAGAAAAAAAAAACTGGAGATAACGTGGCTCGCTCCCCTTCCACTTCCCTTGTCCATGGGCTGAACGAGACCGGCTGACCGACCGACCGACTGATTGACCGCCCGCCCGCCCGTCCGACCAACCCCTACTATAGTACAGTACTCGTACGTACGTACGTACACGATACGGGGGCGGGGCCCTTGGTTCGTTCGTTCGTTTGATAGTTAGTTAGTGTGTGCGAGCGCGAGAGCGAGAGCGACAAGTCATCACAGTGATAGTGACAGTGATGGTGCGACGTGTGCGCACGCGTTGCACACACACACACGCACGCACGCACGCACGCGGGTGAACCATGTTGTTATTATTTTGTCGCGAACAAAAACCCAACAACCCTACTTACAAGTACACCTTTGAACCAAGGGGGGGGGGGCTCCAACACAGCGAACCGCAAAGCTTCATTCGACTTTCTCAAACATGGCCTTAATCGAGGCTACGTTGACTTGGCGAAAACACGGAGACTAGATTTAAAATCGGCACGGGATTTATTGACGATTGGGTTGTGATTCGTTTCGTTTCGTTTTTCTTGTTGTTGTTGTTGTTGGTGTTGGTTGGTCTTGTTTTTCTCGTCATCACCCAATCGACCGATTAACTCACGACAACGACAACGACAATGACAAAATAACAAACTACTTATTATCCTGGTCAAACTTTATATTCCCGGGGGGCCACGCACACACACACAGATACAGATACAGATACAGACACATAACTACAGATCAGCCCCCAGATGCAGCCCGTCTGCCCATGTGCTTCGGAGCTTTCTTATGAGCCAGGGTAGGGGGGGGGGATGTGTGTAACCCTTTCGAACCGCCCATTTGCCCCTGGATCTGTAGTGGTGGTGCTCCCGAGTCGTTGACATTAGTCGCCGGGGCCTAAGTAGCTGATGTGCATGTGCTGATGCAGATGCTGATGCAGCACGCACGCAAGCAAAGCAAAGCAAAGCAAAGCAAAGCAAAGCAAAGCAAAAGCTCATGATACGTGACTGACTACCAACGACCAAGTTGTACTAGCACCGCCGGGGATAAAACAAATGGTGTCCAAGACAACTTCAACGACACGACGCATGCAAACCCACTATTCAGCATACTCACGGCTCAAGAACAAACATGACATGCGCCCTGGACAAGCACGCCCCAGGCACCACCACCACCACCACCACTTCCCCCCAAGTCACGCGCAGCCCCCCCCCCATCCCCTACCTTAACCCTCAGCCGATAGGCACCCCCATTCTCGGTGTTTAGTCTATCTCCGGGGCCCGGCCGAAGGAACCACGCCAAAACATGCCGCTGATGCCGTTATCGCCGTAGCACTGCCGCTCGCCGTGGCCGTGGCCGTGGCACCCTAAGCTTGAGCCTGAGCCTGAACCTGAGCTAGGAGATACTTAGAGAGATAGAGATAGAAAGAGAAAGCATTCTTTTTTTTAGCCCCGGCCGCTCCACCACGCACTTGGGCCGCTAAATCTCGCGCAGTCCGAACGCAGCGATCGACAGGCCCCCCCCCCCATTCCATGCATCCCATGCATCCATGCATTGCGCGAAACACCCGGAAAGTAAGTATAGTAAACTTAGTCTGTAATGTAGTGTAGTACTTGTAGGAGTAGTAGGAGTAGTAGTATGTTCCCAAAGAGCCCGTTCATGGATGCGCCAACTTTTACTTGCTGACGTTGTGCCTTACCGCGTTGTTCTGTTGCAGCTTGATGATTTTGCCTTTGTGAATTTGAACCACCGACATGCATCTCCACGTAGGCCAGCTGTGTTCAAGGTACCCTGCTGCAAGGATCAAGCAATAGTTGCATTGTTTCACTGCAGCATTCTTCACAAAATTCCAGTACAAACAAATCTAAAATGTAAAGTCCCTTCCAGTACCCAAATGTCTTGAATATGACAAAGCAATACACGCCTCTAAAAACACCATTCCCGGAACCCAAGTCGTAAATCCAATAAACGGTTCGTACAAACCCAAAAATGTCATCTTCGTGAAAACGCAAATCTCGTGCTTGCTGACCCTGACTTGTTACTCGTCATGCTCCGACCTGTGATAGAGTCTGTATCTGGATATCCTCGACTACAGACTTGGTTTCTCGTCTTGCCTCACATCACGTACATCCATAGCCTGGCCCCCACAAGACAGTGGCATATCATATATATGCAAAGTTGTAGAAATGTCCATTACCGGCTCACATCGACGGTCCAAGACGCCCGTTGCCCGGCCACCGACCACTGGGTAGATCGGGGGAGTCGATGAATTTCCAGAAGCCGTATATGAGACAGATAAAGACGGAGACGACTATGATTTGTCCAAGCCACTCAGGCAGTGAACGGTCCGAGGATTCGACTTCGCTGCTCGCGACAGACGACTCGGCATATTGGCGAAAGGTGCCGTAGTCCGGAGGCGCACCGCTCACTGCCACCGTGTCGTCGTACGAGGGCGGAGGCTCGTCAGGCAACAAGGGCTCATCGGGCGCGACGTATATGGGCGGATCGTGAGAGTAGTAGTGGCGGGTTTGGTCATAGCCGTCTACAGGTGGGGCAGGCGGTTGCGGTGCATGGTACGAGGCCTGACGCCGTTAGTCGGACCTGACATGGTACTTCTCCAAGAGCATACCGGCGCTGCGTCGTGCATCGTACATTGGTGTTAGCAGGTCTATCCAGGCGGCATGGTGGTGTTGCAGAGGTCGCGTGCGGCGGCGCGTTATGACGGCGTGCCATGTGAAACCCCATGGCCGCGGGCGGGCGGGCGGGCGGTCGGTCCGAGCTCGAAGTAGCCAAGTGCGTCGTGTCGGGTTGCGACAACAGCCAAAGTATACTTGTACACACTTCGATACATACTTGCGCCTGCACCGCGCACCATGTCCGCCAGTCGCCCATTGATCTAGGCACCAGATATCTCGTGTTAGACGCAGCATGTCGGCCGATCCCCCTGCTAACCTCCAGGTCTTCTCGCCTACAGGGTCCGGCCGCTCGAGTCCCGTACCGCGGGCCTCGCGCGCTGCCGCCGAAGAGCGTATGTCTTTGCCTGGCTTTTCCCAATCCTCGCGCCCGTGGCTAATGCAACCCCCCCTGCAGCGCTGTACAAGAAAGAAAAAGGATTCCGACGGTATGCGGCCGGTGTCGAGCGCGCCCTCGCCCTCTGGGACTCGGCCCAGCAAGAATGGGCCGACTATATTTCGTTCCTGGGAAGGCTGCTGAAGGTTAATACTGCCATGTCTACTGCCCACATGAACCAAAGCGCTTATACAATGTCCCGTCCAGGCCCTGCAAGCGCACCCCTCAGACATACCCGTCATACCCCATAGCGATACTGTCGCACTGCGATTAGCGCAGTGCTTGAATCCAACATTGCCCTCGGGCGTCCACCAGAAAGCTCTCGAAGTCTATGACTACATCTTCTCTACCATCGGTGTATGCCCATACCTCCCCCGTGTCCGGTTGGCAGATGCTGACCCATGCCCAGAAAGACACCCTCGCCCGTGACCTCAACCTGTACTTTCCCGGTCTTGCCCCTGTCCTCTCCTTTGCCTCGCTTTCGGTTCGTCCGCTGTATCTCGCTCTCTTTGAGAAGCACATTCTGAGGCTCGACGGAGCTGCGCTTCGCCCGGCATTGAAAGCCATTATACTATCGCTTCTCCCTGGCCTGGAAGATGAGACCAGCGAAGACTTTGAGCACATGGTGTCTGCGACGGAGAAACTGCGCAATGCTGTCCACGAAGACCCGGACGAAGTGGCAGATTCAAAGACTGCCAGCGGCTCGTCTCATTTCTGGCAGTGTTTCTTCCTGGCTACAATCACCAATGCATCCAGAAGGCAAGGCGCGCTTGCATTCCTCGTGCGCCGCTTGCCCAAGTTCGGACGGCCAAACCGCCGCAACGCTCCATCAGATGCCTCAATGCCGTCTGAAAACCCATCAGCCGAAGCCGAGGCTGCCACGTCCCCGGAGCCAGGTCTCTTGATCCGGTGCTTTGAGTCTGGCCTTTCTGACCCGCAAATACTCATACAACGCGGATTTCTCGATTTACTCGTCACTCATCTGCCTCTTGATTCACCTGTCCTTCAGGAGCGTGTTGGAAAGGGGGACCTGGAACGGCTTGTGGCAGCGGCCGCTGGCGTAGTATCGCGAAGAGATATGAGTCTGAATCGCCGGCTCTGGGCGTGGTTCCTTGGTCCTGAGCCTGCGGCATCTGAAGGCAACGAGGGCCTCAACTCTCCCATGTTGGACAACCAGAACGCTTCCGCTGACCCTTCTGCACATCAAGCTGCCTTCTTCTCACAATATGGTCTTGAGGCACTCACAAATAGCGTGCTGAAGATGATAAACCGACGTAGCGAAATACCCACGGAGCGAGCGCGTCCTTTTAGAGTCTGCCTGTCCCTCATGGATCGTTGGGAGGTGGGTGGGCTGATTGTGCCTGAGATTTTCCTCCCAGCTTTGCAGAGTGTTCATTCGTACAGCGAAACTGCCTCGCGGGATCAAGTCGACGAAGTAGTGAGAAGCGCCAGTGCCTTCTTTGATGGCGTCGACAGCGGCCTGATTTGGGGTAAGCTTATCCAACTCATCACATCTTCGCTGCAGACCGATGCGGCTTCTCGTAACGACGCCCTGCGCAAGATGAAGCTGGCAAAGTTCATTCTTGCGCGTTTCAACCTCAAAGAAGAGGATATGCTCCTACACCACATGCCCTTGATGGTCCTATCGACACTCATATGCCTCAACCAGTCTCCCGACGTGGCCGACATGTCACCAGCAGATAGAGAAGTCAGGAGTCTTGCTCTGGAGATTGTAGACTCGCTGGTTCAGATTGTACCAGACCGCTCGTTCCAAGGGGGCCAAGCAACGGACCAACAACTATTGGAAGCCATCAAGACGGCTCCTTCAAACGCGTCTCAAAAGATTCAAGGGTTTTATGAGGAATCCCACGGGAGTCTTGACACGGTGGATCCTCCCTTCGACTCAAGGCAGTTGGGGCAAATTGTTCTCCGTGAGGCCTCGCGCATGCTCAGTGGGGTCTTGCAATCGCGCGGTTCTCAGACTGCTTCCGAGGCATCTTCCAGGATTCTTGCGAATTTGATATTCAAAACCCAGTGCATGAAGGCTATTCAAGAGACTGATCTGCCGGCGGTATTTGGAAAGATTCTGGAAATGCCTGATAGCTCCAAGTCTATCCCGCCGTTTCCTCAGTTGAGCGCCATGACTAGTGTCCTGTTTGCACTCCAGACTGCACTTCCATCCGGGCCTTGTATTACACCATCTCAACTATCCGAGCTTGTCTACCCTCTGGTTGAGTATTCTTGGGAATACCTCTCGCCAACACTACCCAAGTATCATGTCGAGACTGCTCGGTGCTTGCTGTTGCTGCACTCCATGGCCCCGGCAAGTCGCATGGTTGAGAGTGCGATATCCTCCATCATTGTAAAGCAAATGCCGCGAACTCTTGTGTCAGAGGGCTCTTCCAACTGCGCTCGACGATTCGCCACACTATGGACACACATCATGCATGAGCTGAGCCTGCAGGCAGAGAAACGCCCAAACGTCTCGCGCCGAACGAGCGCCATTGCTCTTCCCATCTCGGTGCCTGCTAGCGAATTCCATGCCGTCTTGACAAGACCGCTGCTGTTGCTTCTGGACACGCTAGCAGATGAAGAGTCGGAAACATCGACATTTATGCAGAGTTGGCTGCAAGATCTGCCAAGTTTAAACCGGGTCATCGAGGTGCTGACAGTACACATCCGGTCTATGAACTGCTTGGCAGCATCGGGCAGTCTGAAGCCTGAGCAAGCTGCAAAAGGACACCAGCGGCCATCAAAAAGAGATGACACCAAAGAGTGCCTGTATTACCTCAGGCACATCTCCAATGTGGTCAAAAGACCGTCACATTTCACCTGGGTAACGCTTGCTGAGATGACTGTGGCTTCTTCAGAAGAGTCGTCATCACGGATGGCGATCCAGGAATGGCTTGTACGCACATGCTTGGAGACGCTATCGCTACAGGCCGGCACACGCGAAAAGGATCTTGAGCCTCATATACATGAGCTGCACAGGCTATCTGTATCGGTTATATCGCAAATCTATCGAAGCCCCTTTGCTGCTCCGCTTCGAGAGCTGGAGCTCGAAATACCCCTTATGAATAGACTACGATCAGCTAATCCATCCTTGCAGAGCCTGCTGCTGGGTGCAGAGCTGGCTGCACTGAGACTCCGCCTCACTCGTCCGCCAGAGCCGGCGCCTGAACCCAAGACGTCCAACCTTCCTACGAACCGCTCCCGACTATCTTTGACGCTGCGCAGAGAATCCGAAGACGATGAGCCGGCGCCTGTCCCGCCACCTCCGCAGCTCATCGAGTGCTTGAAGTTCGGCTTCTCATCTCCAAGCAGTCGCTTCGTGCTTGAAGACTGGATTCATTTCCTTGTCGAGGTGCTGCCCATGTTTGCCGACACGATATTCCAAAACCTGCTTCCCCTTGTCGAATGTCTGTGCAAGCAGATCAACATTACCTTCAATCAGCTCAAATCCACCTTTTCGCAAAACGAGGCTCGCCGTGTGGTGTCACCCGAGTCGACACTGATATCGCTTATGAACGGGCTGGAGCAAATCCTAGCAAAGGCACACGAACGGCTGACGACGCAGGAAACGAAGGTGTCTGCCAGCAAATCTCCTGAGCAGCCCCAGGGCTTTTTCAGCAACGTCGTGTCTGGCGTGTTCTCGTCTGAGATTAACCAGACGCGTACCCCTACTGCGAACAGCCGGCTGACAGTTTTGCTCTGCTTCCAGGATACGGTTCGAATCTGCTTTTCCATCTGGTCGTGGGGAGGCTACGGCCAAGGACAACAAGTGCAGGATCCTACATCGGCATCATCGTTTGCGTATACATCGCTGCGCATGCGCAACCGGGCTCGGCGCACTCTGGAGCATCTGTTTGACGCAGAAGCGCTCGAGTGTCTAGAGACGTTGGCAGTGCAGTGGGCCCACGCGGCACTCGACGACGTGCAGGGGGCAGCGATTATGGGGCTACTGAATGTGCTCAATGGCTCCAAGCCCAAACACACGATCCCGGCGATTTTCAACGCAGTGTATAGCCGAACTGATCCGGGAGCTCTGGAAGCCAGTAGATTGTCCACTCTGACGTCTGACCTCACCGACACTGAACTGGTTGCTTTCCTTGTCGAATACACCGACTCGCTCGAGGACGACGCCATGGACGAGATATGGCAGGACTGCATGCTGTTCCTGAAAGATGTGCTTGCGAACCCGTTGCCGCATCGACAGATTCTGCCAAGCCTCCTTGAATTCACGGGGGTTATTGGGCAGAAGGTGGACAACACCAACTTTGGGGAGCAGCGAAGGATGAGGAGGGAGCTTGCGGTAAGGTTTGGTTGAGTCATAGTTGTCAAGTCATCTGATCATTTGCGTAGGACATCTTTGCCAGGATTCTGACTGCAATCTTCACGACGCGCTCCATGGGTTATCTGCAAGACTCGAATCAGAGCACAGTGGAGAAGGCGACTGGGACAACAAACGGCAGCCGTGCACAGAAACGCGCGACGGACGTGGTGTCGATCCTCACGAGCATTGCACCCAAGCTGCCCATCATCCTGGTGGAGAACGATCGGGTTACCAAGGTTGTATCGGACATTTCGACGTCTGTCATTGGGCCGACGTTTCGCACCAAGGCGTTTCCGGAAAACGTGTCGAGGAGCATGCTGGACCTGCTGCATGGGCTGGTCAAGATTGCGCAGAGCAACAAGCTGCTCAAGAAGGACATTTACGATGCCTTCAATGACGCAAGGTTCTTCCACACGCCACTGCCCCTGATGCAGGACGCATGGCTGCCGATTCTGGCGCAGTGGACGCAGTCGGACAAGGAGCGTGTGCCCGAGTTACTAGCGCGGCTATCGGCCCCGACGAGCGCGGGCATTGTGTTTGGAGTCGGGGCTACGTCTGCTCGGCAAGAAGCAGACCGCAAGACGCAGCTTACGCTACGGCGCATTGCATTACTCATTCTGGGAAGCCCCGAGGATGCGTTTACCTCCAACATTGGGCAGATTGTCGAGAAGCTTGTCGAGCTGCTCACTGCCACGCCGGCGTCGTCGCCGTCGTCGACGACTCGGGCCGAGGTGATTATCGTGGTGCGGGCTCTGATGCTCAAGACGTCGGCCGTCCATCTGGCGCCGCTGTGGCCAGTGGTCAACGGCGAGTTGACTTCTGTGCTGTCGGCACTCTTGCCCGAGGCAGCCAACAAGGATCACTACAACAACGCGGGCATCATCCAGGGATGCAAGTTGTTGGACGAGCTAGTGGTGCTGGATCCGGACGACTTTCAGCTCATGGAGTGGCTGTTTATCACCGACACGATTGACGCCGTGTACAAACCCATGCACGCGCCGACAGTCATGTCGCTCACCGACGAGATCAACGAGGTGCTGACCATGTCTTCCTCAGCGCCCGCAGCGCCGGTTGCGCCGCATGGCGCATCCGAGGCGGATGAGGCCAAGCGAAGGCTGCTGCTCGACCCGCTGATGGAGGCGCTGGAGAAGGAGGAGGGGGCAGCGGTGCTGGACATGACGCGAGGCGAGCTGGTGAGCCGGGTGGTGAGGCCGTTCCTGGGCAACGTTGCGATGAATGCGTTTGAGGCGAGGTATGGAGGAGGCAAGGCGGACTGGCAGGGCGTGTGGGCGAGCGTGGTGGCAGATGCAGCGTCTTGATGGGTGTCTTGGCAGCTCGTCGTGGGCACATGGCAGAGCAGACTGACACGGAGGTCTCGAGGCATACAGGGGACTCGGGATCGTCCATGTGCTCCGGTGAGGGCCATGGGAGGGCAGCGTCTAGGCATCTAGGGATGTGGGGGAGGGCTTTCATGTGAAGCGGAGGCGTGGGCATGGCAGCACATGATGCAGTTTTGTCAGGAGGCACAGCTACGTGTACCAGTGCAGGCAACAAAGGGATTGCAGACTATGGTAGCTGTGAAGCGCGGGCCAGGCAATTCCAGCACATGAAAGTTTCTAGACTCGCGTTTGCACACAAGAGGCCGAGGAGATGCGTGGTGGCAGCGGAGCATCGGAGGGTGTTGGATGGGTGGGCCAAGAAGATGGGCATGAGAGAAGGCCTAGAGCAGGCGAGCACGTGACGTGGCGAGTGCACTACTTGGACGGGTTAGCAAAAAGGAAGCAGTGGCAGCTCGCCGAGTGTTTGGCGGGCCTGCGACGCGCGACCAAAACTGACGTCGGCGATGGGGCGACGACAGAGAAAAAGAAAACACACACACAAGCAGCCAGCAAGCGAGCGCGGAGGAGTTTTGTTTAAGGTTCCCAGATCTGTCATGGACCCTTGGGAACGCTTAGCGGGCGGGCTTTTTGGTGGTTTCCGGGCTGCAAGCGTACCCAAAGTCGCAGCACGCCGCCTTCAGCTCGCCTCTCTCTCTCTCTCTCTCTCTCTCTCTCTCTCTCCATGTCGGTGGCGGCGGTCCAATGCGCAGGGCGAGAACGCGAGTGCGCGTCACCGAGCAGCAGCATGATGGTGGTTTTCCCAGGCGACAGGCGATGAAATGGCATCGGACATGGCCAGCGCCTTGCTCCGCGCGGCGGGCGGGCCGCCACCACGACGGTTGAGCTGGCTGGCTGCTTGTCGCGCCACCGTGGAAAGGAGGAGTCATTGCTGTGGATGCTGCTGGTGCTGGTGCTGGTGCTGCTGGGGCGTGGATGCGTGTCGACAAGTGTACCGGCGGCCAGCAGACACTCAGCTGCGACGTGGGTGGGCCGTGAAAAGCAAACGAAACAGGGCGCGAGTATATAACAGCAGGGCGGCAGCCGCAGTTGGCGAGCGAGGCGCAGAGACAGCTGTCGGCCACCAGCTCATCGATCCTGAAACACGACTTGCAGCGTCGCCATGGATGCGTGGGAGCAGATGTCGCTGTCGTCGAGCAGAGCGTGGACACCGGACCAGCTCCACGTCACGAGGCCCTGGGCGTGCCCGTCACCGCCCGCACCATCTGACCCAGGCACGCCCGCCTCACCCAACACCGCTACTCTGCCCGCCTGCCCCCCACCGCCGCTTCACGCGCCGACACCGCAACTTGCACACACCCACACCGGCTGTTGCTCGACACGCACCCCTCGTGGCCATGGCCTGCAAGATGACCTGTACCACATCTTCACCCGCGATGCCTACTTATCTAGCGGCACCGCGGCCGCGAGGGAGCTTGCTGGCACCCTGAACATCCACCCTTATACCGCTACTCCTGCTGCTACTACTACCACTACCACTACCACCACTATCCCCCCCGCAATCACCGCCACTGCGCACTCGGCGGTGAACAAGAGTCGGCCGCACCCGCAACGCCGACTAAAAAGACCTCGCCGCTCCCCATCTCCATTGCCATCTCGTCCGCCTCCTGCAAAGCGCCCCAAGCCCGCTGCTGCCCCCTCCCAAGAGCTGCATTTTGTCGACGACTCGCTCTTCGCCACACTCAACGCAGCCATGATGGAAATCGCCAGCCGCCAGCTGGCCCCACACCACCAGCCAATCACAGCCGCCTCGTCAAAACTCTCCTTCAAGGACACCACCTGGACCTTTCCCAAGAAGCTCAAGAAGAAGCGCAGACGCCCCAGCGACCTCTTCAACATCAACTTTGGCTTTGGCTTCTCGTCGCGCCGCCGCCAGTCGTCCGACGACTCGCCTCACGTGAGCCCCCGCACCAGCATCTCGTCGCCCTCGGCCTCGCCCCGCGCCGACCTCATGGAGAGCTTCAAGCGCCAGAGAATCGACTCGACCGGCTCAGACATGCACCAACCAGAGGACCCTCACCCGGGCCAGCTCGTCGACTTCTCCCTCAGCCCTGCTTCTCTCGCTCTCCACGCACCGCCCACCCCGGCCCCGGTCCCGGCCCCGCCCACGATGCTCCCCTTGCCCGAGCTATCTACCGACTTCAACACCCGACCCACCACCGACGCTTATGACGACTACCTTGCCGCCACCACCACCACCACCCACCGCCGCAACTCGTTTCCCGCTGTCGACTGGGACAATGCCGCCGCCACTACCAAGGAGCTTCTTGAAATCGACCCCAAGGACACCACCACCATCACCACTACTACTGTTGCTCCTCTCCCAGCTCAGCCCTTGGAAGCCTCCAAGTGCGAGCTCCGCCGCACCACCAGCGACCCCTCCACCGAGCGCTTCCTGACTCACATTCGCGCCAGTCTTGAGGCCAGGAGGAGCAAGAGTGGCAGGACATGGCAAACATATCCCGTCTTTGCCGATGAAGTCGAAAAGGGCTTTCTCGATGACGCTCCATTGTAAACATAGCATTCCCTTTTTTTCTTTTTTTCCCTTCGGTGCATATATCGGCACTTGTATTTTAATCGGCATTTCCTCTCCCGTCTTTCCTGTGGCTGCAGGGCTCTTGGCGCGTTGCTGGCAATGCTTGCGAGAAGATGAGGATGACCATGTAGTATTTGGGAAAGCTCTTGCTTGCATATTGGGTATGGCGTTTGCATATTCTGGGTTCTTAGCATGGCATTGGCATTGGCATTGGCATAGGATTGGCATGGCATTGGCATAGGATTGGCATAGGCATTGGCATAGGCATAGGCATATTAGCATAGATACCCCCACCACCTTTCCGACACGGAAGAGGTGTTACGAGTTGGATAACTTGGCCTCTGCACTTTGTAGATGGATCAACACTATAATCAAGTACTATTACTACCTCAACAACCATAACTATTTTCTGCTGCTTCGTCCTCGTGCTCAAACATGATTCGTTCTTCTCTTGCAAGAAAAAACTAACAACATCAACATCATCATCATCATCATCATCATCAACAAAACAACACCATCACCGACTCTTCCACCTCACACCGCCCACCCACCTAACCCACCTCTCCACCCTCTCCCTCTTATCCGCCTCCCTCTCCGTGCCCCCCTCCCGAATCAACTCGACGGTATAAAACCTCCTCGCCAGCTCCTCATTCCCCGCCAGCCCATGCACAAAACTATGACACGCACGACACAACCACGCCACGCTCTGCAGCCGCTCCTCGCCATGCCACCCGCGCTTCCGCACCCGCGCATGCGCCGCCCGCGGAACCAAATGGTGATATGTAAGCGGCACCCAGTCGCGCGCACACAACTCACACGCTGCTACCTGTGCGCGCGAGCTGCGGCCGTGAGCCGGCGCTGCTGTCACGCTGGCTATGTACGCTGACACCAGCGGGACCATCAGTCTGGCATGCTCGCCGGCGTCCGAGGCTAGCGGTAACACGCCGTAGGCTTCCAGGCTGTCGAGTACAGAGGCCGGAATGCTGTTTACGAGCTCGGTGCTCGTCGCGGGGCTGACGGGCGCCGAGTACTGTTTTTGCAGCGCGGCGGACGCTGCGAAGTGGGTTGCGTTGAGGGTGCGGAGGTCTGGCGCTAGATTGGTGAAGAGGACGGTGCTGAGGTACTGTTTTTTGTTATTTTTTTTGTTAGTTATTGTTGATGTTCTTATTGATGGAACGACAGATGGGTAGAGGTTTATTCTGTTAGGAAATCACAGTGTGGTCTTTTCTTTTGTTAGGGAGGGGGTTTGCTAATGAAATAGCTGTATGCGTGCATTGCAATGGGGGAGATGTATGAACATACCTGGATGAATTCAGCCAAGTCCTCTGCGTCGTCGGCAGCTCCAAGCTCCTGACTACCCTCATTGTCACTTTGCTCCTCCACTCCATTCTTCCCGTCTCTTAATCCATTCTGTGCATTTCTCTTCTTCTTCTTCTTATTCTTCTTCTCCTTCGGCTTGGCCTTTTCACTCGGTGCCGCCAGCGCTTTCAACACGGGCTCGCTCACGCAGTCGCGGAAGGTTTCGAAGTTGGATTGCTCGGTGGCGGGAATGCGCAGAGCCATGGTCGATTATCTTGGAGTACAATGCACACTGTGAAGACAACATCGTCAGTGGCCATGCCATGCATGGTGTTTTGTAGTCGAGCGCGTCATGACGACTTTCGCCTTGGTGAGGCGAGACACTACTAGCGGGGTCGAGGGCAGAAGGGCGCTGCGAGGGCGAATTGGCTCGTATCTGCTGCCCAGCATTCAAGACATGATTTCATGCTCAAAGGTAGCCTGGAGCTGACAACCCAAGATTCTCCTAGGGCGTGCATGGAGCTGCCGCAGAACAAGTGTCAATTCTAGGCCCAGGCCTTTAGCACAGCAAAAGCAACGACAACAACCCAATTCAAGTCTTGGGATCGTGCATTCTCATCATATTCGTCTATTCCAATCAGCATAACGCACGCTACTTGATTGTTGCCACGCCGTCTTCTGCTTGTACTCATCGTATCACGTGATCCCGTCAAGCGAGCCTCGGTCCTTGCAGGCATGACACCCAAATCTAGGCCTTCTTCTTTCCGCCCTTTGCGAGGCGGTTGGCCTTGCCCAGAGCCTGCTCCCGTCTCCTGGCCTCGCGCTCCATGAGCTCCTTCTTCTCCTTCTCCAGCTCAGCACGCTCCTCGGCCTCGGCCTTTTTTCGCGCTGCCTCGGCCTCTCTGCGCTCGCGAACCAGCTTTAAGCGCTCCAGATCAGCGCGCGCCTGCTCCGTCTTGCCTTCGGCATGTAGCTTGTCGTATCGGTCCTTGCTGGCTTGCGCCTGGAGGGCCTCGCGCTCCCGGCGGGAGAGTTGAGAGAGGTCTTTTTGCTTGCCCTTGCCCTTGGCGGCAGCGGGCTCAGCGTCTTCGTCGACGACGGGTGCTTTGGTGGCTTGTGTACGGGCTTTGGCGGTATGGTTTGGGTTTGCGGGCATGTCGTCATCCTCCTCCTCCTCAGAAGAGTCGGTGGGCATGTCGCCAGCCTCGGGTGTCTTTTGCGATTTCTTCGCTATCGCAGCCTGCTTGCGCTTCTTTGCGAGTTCACGGCGCTGCTCACGTGTCAACTCTTCCTGTGCAGGCTTTCCCTCCTCGTCGCCCGACTCTTCTTCTGAAGATTCCTCCTCCTCAGAGTCCTCTTCGTCGACCTGTTCGGGTTGCTCCTGTGGCATTCCGTTAGACGCCTGGTCCGACACCTCGCAGGCCAAATACTTACACCCCACATGCCGACTACCTCGCCATCGGCGTTCAGCGGTTGCAGGTCGCGCGAAAACTTCTTGCCGCCTCCGCGCTTGACCTTGTTGAACTTGCCGCCGCGACCACGTGCTGAAGACATGTTGGATATGTAGGCTGTGTTTGTCCAAGTGAAGAGTTATTGGTTCAGAATGTGCTTGCAGCCCGTGTCCGTTTATACAATGGGTCGTCTCGGCGAACGCTCGTTGTTTGCGTGTCGTGGGTGTCAAGCGGCTCGTGAAAGCTCCACTGTAGTTGGATTGTGGCTTTGTGTAGTAGAGTGTGGGTGATTCAGAATCGTGTGCTTGCAAAAGCGAGCCTGTCAAGGCACGGCGCGTTTGTCAGCCTGGCGTTGCACACAACAAAGAGAGCCTACTCTGCCACTCACCTGCTACACCACTACACGTACAAGGTTGTTCTTTGGTGTTGTCGAAAGAGTCACCCTCACAGGCCCACCAACAAAACGTAACAGCCCCGCGCTCGCCAAAGCCAAAGCCAAAGCCAAAGCCCCCCTGCCCCGCCGTCCCGTCCTCGTCAAACCCAATGCGCCATTCTCGATTCGCTCACATGCACCCTGCACGCCCGCTAGGCCGCAAACCACCAAGCGCACATTAGTCATCGGAAATTCTCGCATCATCAAAACCAAGCCGCGCCGCGCCAGCCTCTTCTGCTCATCAAAACTGAAACACCCCATTATTCACTCTGTGTCTCCCGCCTCAATGGAGATTTGGAGGGGAAAATGGAGGTTAGAGCAAGCACGCGTTCGCTTACCCCCTTCTCTTCTGCGCTGTGCGCTCGTGGAGCGAAGGTAAATTTTTTGGACGGTACATACTTTTGCTGGCATACCACGGTGCGCTTGACCTGGCGCTACTCAGACCGAGCTGTCTTTGGCCTTGCGACGCGCTCCGCGTCTGGCCGAAAGCTTTTCGAGTGCCGCTTTGGCTATGCGGCCATCCATAGTCGTGCGTGTCCTCCCAACGTTGGACGGCGCGCAGCAGACAGGTGCGGCTCTATCAATATCCGCAGTACTCTGAGGCGCACACGACGACTGTACTGTTCCGCCGTATCGACTTGGACGCCAGGCAGGCTGTACTCTGCGCTGAGGGCTCGTTCTGATAATCGCTCTGATAAGCCTGGATACCATTACTTAGTAGCCTCGACAAGTCAACTCCACTTTGTCGTTAGCAAGTCACACAAACACATGACAGTAAAATAGTAATCACCATGCTCATATTTTCTCTGCTCCTATATGGCAAGACAAGCTACCTAGGGACATGCAAGGTGATGAGATATCCATCGTGGATTCGCAAAAGTCAGATACCGCCTGCACAAAAAGAAAAATGGAGATTACCCAGATTAGCCACTTTGGATGCTTATCTTATGAAGATGCACGTCATCGTCCACCAAGTAAGCACATAACCCAGACATTCCATAGACCTTTCCGTCATCCTGCAAGTCACATTCGACTCGCCAAGCTTAGCCATGCTCTAGATGTACCACATGACGTCCTTGATACCACGGCTGTTGTTCATCGGCATCAGCGGAGCAATCTCGACGTTCTGCTTGGACGAGCCAGTCGACGACTGCTGCTCTATCTTGGTCTCCTTCTTTCCAGACGAGACGGGATTCTCGTTGAGATGAGCCCGTGAGCGGTCGGCGGCAAGGTGGGCATAGTAGACGGCTGGATGAAGCGAAACAGGAGTCGTAGAGCGGACATAGTGGTATGAGTGTTCAAAGATGAACTGCTGAAGCTCCGTCGGCAACCATTCACCCTCATTGAGAATGCACTGGTAGTGGATAGGGCGGGCCGTACCCTTGATCGCGACGTGAGAGCACAGGTAGAAGTCAAACTCGAAAGGGTGCGTGCAGCCAGACTCCACCAAAGTGCCCGGAAGAGGATTGCTGTTGCGGTCTCCATGCTCAGGGAAGAAGCGGACGTGATGGCGCTTGCCGGCAATGACAACCGTGAACTTTGGCACCTCCTTGCAGCCCAACTTCTTGAAGCATTCCTTCATGTCGTGGACTTCTTCTTCAAGGACTGCAGCGTACTGTCCTTCGCCGACGCCGTCACGGATGTAAAGAACACGCTGGGGCGGCCTTCCCTGGCCAAGCTTCTGCATCCAGTTCTTCGCCATGAAACCGAATTGCTGATCAATGTTGGCCGTAGTCACCATCTCAACGCGATTTCCGTTGGTCTGAACCTCAGCCCAGTACCGAGTGAAATGGATGTCTGAAGACATGGTCATGGCCGCGAACGAAGCAGCCTCACCAGATCCTGCTCCAGGTGCAGGGTGAGAGACGTCGGCACCGACTACCATGGTAGGGATTGAAGCGGCCTTGGGAGCGATCTTGGGAATAAGCTGCGATTTCGCGACGCAAGTAGCACCGCCGAGCTTGGCGTTGACCTTCATGCAAACATTCGAAATGTACTGCGGAGAAGCAGACATGACATGCTTTGCCTGGAGAACTTGCGAAACAACGCCGAAGCGGATGTCGCAGGACTTCTTGATGCGGCGATACACATCAATGTTGCGGTCATTGACGATGAAGATGAGCAGACTAGGCGGCGCGTTGTACCTGCAAGCTAGATCAGTCACAGCTCTGCAAACCGCCATGTTGCTTCGACTTACCTATTGCCAGTCATGTTCCATACCTTCTGAACTACATTCACGTCAGCGCGCGTCTCAAACTTTGGTCATTTGCATTACTTACCCATCTCACCGCCATCGGCCAGATTACCAGGACCCATCCAGGGCTTCTTGCCGAACTGAGGGTGGGAAGCAACCACGCCTCCGTGGGACTCGTAGATCTGCACAAACTTCTGGCAAAAGGTCTCGACAGCTTGCAGAGGAGGGCTGCCGCGACCCTGGACACAGCACACACCCCAAGCTCGAATAGCGCGGTCATTGTTCTTGTTGGTAAGGATGAACTTGCGTCCGTCCAGCCTCCACCTACCCTGAATCATGTCGGAGGGTTTGATGGTCATCTCCTTGGAACCCGCACCAAATTGCACCGTTGGCGGTGGCAGAACGCGAGCCTGTACCTTGGATGGGTTAGGGTTAACCTGAATGCCGAAATGACTGAGATATGGGTCGTTGGCCCAGTTCAGAAGACGAACGCCCTGCTGAACCGCTGCCCAGCGGTCTTTAGGAAGCGTCACGGCAAACTTGATCATGTTAGACGTCTGTGTATCACTCAACTTGGTGTTGTAGCGCTGATTGGCATCGATCTTGAGCACGTCAATAGGCATGTATACAGGCTGCTTGCGGATCATCTTGGTCATCTTGACGACGGGCATGCCGGCCATGACCGTGATGCTGTACTTCTTCTTGAAGTACTCTGCCACAGAAATCATCTTGGAACGATCATCCGGATCCGGGAAGCGAGCCTGGGACGCGTCCATGTTGACAAACTCGTCAATGGTCCACTGCGTAGGTGGCTTTGTGTGCATGGCCGATACACCAAGACGCTTGAACTTGCGGAGGTCCTTCTTCAACATAGACGCCTTCCAATCACGGGCGGCATTCTTGAACATGTTGGAGAACTGCGGTGGACTACAGTTGAACGCCTGTCCGATGGCGCGCGCGAGCTCTTGGGAACGCCAAAAAGTACCATTGGCAACATCCACGTTGACAGACAGCGACTTGTTGAACTTGTCGTCGAGGACTGGACGAAGGGAAGTAAAAACGCCCTTGAAAGCCTCGATACCTCCACCGAGATCAAAGCGCTGCTCGCCGCGCTGGAAGAAGGACTTCTTGATCATGGTATACTGCTTAGAAGGCCACTCACGCATGACATGGTCGAGGAAGTTGAGTGTGTCGATGCAGTCAGACGACCACGAGGCTTGTCCTTGAAGAAAGGCATTCAGTCCGATGAAGTCGACCTTACGAGTCCAGCGGATGTGAAGCGTGTGCTTGTTTCCGCGGGCACCGGGCTTGGTCTGGCGGCCTTCTTCTTCGTCCAGATCGACCGAGATGCGCGTGTCCTCGCGCTCTAGACGCTTGTCAGACCAAGCGATCTTGTTAGTGTCCCAGATCCACTTGTTGTTAGTTCCAAGTTCTTTCTGGACACTGCGGGAGTAGAAGATCTTCTTCAGCAAGGCGCGCTTGGTGTAGTCGGTGCCGTCGCCCGTGAAATGAAGCTGAAGGTGTTAGTGAATCCAACACATGAATTGTGAGCCGAGCCGACTTGACTTGCATCGTACTGGTGGACGACAGTGTTTGGAGACTTGATGACGTTGAACGTGTTGAGAACAATGCCGACAGCTTTGCCGTGCGGATTGAAGCTCTGGGGACGCTGGGGCAGCTTGTGTGGAACAGTGATCTGAATCCATGGTCAGTATGATGCATAATAAACTACAGATGATACGTACACCTCGAGCCTTGTACCAACCCTCAAGACCAAGAAACTCGGACAGGTTCTTGAGGTCGTTGGTAGCCATGTACTCAACAGGCTTTCGCATACCGGGGTCGCGGTTTCCGTCTAGGCGAGGGATGGACTTTGGTGCAGACTGCTGCGTAGCATTGCGAGACTCGGAAGATCCATTGGATGAGCCGTTGGACTGCTTCTCGGCCTGCGCGCGCTTGTTTGGCGGACCACCCATTGCGATGCCTACATGCCGTGTCAGTCGTAGCCAGAGATGAGCGGTAGTGAGATGAAGCGGCAGTGCTTGCAAGTGAATCAAATACAACGGCAAGCCGATGCCCTGTATCTAGCGCTGCTCATATGCAGCAACAGTACGTACCTTGATGTCAGACTGTGGTCAATGGAGGACCGTTGTGGATCGAGTGAGCTTGAACCGGGCAGCCGGTTGTGTCTGAGGCGGGTCAGCACAGTCTGAAGACAGAGCGTGTATAGATGTACTCAGAGAAATAGAACCAAGTGGAGGGTGATGGGCACGAGAGTGCAAAGGAATGTTGAGAGTGTGTGATGGGTGGGATGCAGAAGGACAAAGGGTGAGACAAGACAAACTGTGGACTGAGGGGTGTTTGCCAAGCCAGAGGCGTAGGCGGCAGCAAGCAGGGAGGGCAGGAGTGACGAGATGTCGCAGTGACCGGCGTGGTGAGAGCGGTGTCGGTATCGGAAGGTGCCAAGCTTCCAGGTGACACAAAGGGCAGTGGCAACGGCACGGCAATGGCAACGGCAAACAGCCGTAGCGGCGAGAAATATCAAACCACAATGCTGGATAAAGACTTACTCGAGTGTGCTGAGGATGTAGAGGTTGCCTGCAATGCTGTTGGCTGACCTGCCTGCAGGGAGGAGCTTGAGACAGGCTCTTGCTTGGAGGTGGCAAGGTTGCTGTTGGGTGGGGAATTGATATCTGTGAAGATTTGGAAGATGTTAGGAGAAGACAAGGTTCAATGAAGAAGTTGAAAGAGTTGAAAGAGGTGTGGTGGTGGTAGTGTGAGGGAGGAGAGATGGTTGGAGTCGTACCTGGGCAAGCTTATATGGACGGGAAACTGCGCTAGCTGAGCAATCTCAGGGTCTGGCGAGCGATCAAGCGGTGTATACAGGTAAAACACGCATGTAATGTTGGGAGAGTGAGATTCGGGGCTTGGGTGAGAATGATGGTAGTGAGAAGCTGGATGCCGCTGAGACCACCAGTGTCTACATAGTCTGACTCAGTGAGAGAGTGCCGGGGATATTTCAGGATCTCACATCATGGGATGTTATAGATAGGTGATCTGCGTATGAAGACAGCCAAATAAGTGAAGTTGTTGGATGTGAACTGTACTTGCAGACAGCATGAAAAAACAACGAGTAGACAAGAGGCAATACTCAAAGCTAAGCAATCACTCAAACAAATCATTCATCATTCTAGCATGTACACGAAAGTCCTTGGCTAGTCAGCATTTGGCGTGTATATTTCGGGAGAAAAGCCAAGAGTTCACATGCTCCAGCAGCTCACAGGTTACTTCTAGGATATACCTCCGTGACGATGCCAGCACCAGATCCAAGAAGTTAAGACAACGCACAGCATATTCCACATAATTTATCTATCAAAGAGTGATCTTGGACCCTCTCTGACACTGCGTCGACACATGCACAAAGGCACTATGCTACTTCAAGACCAGGAAGCACAGCACTCGATGCCTTGCAATCCACTCAATCCTAGTATGAGCTTATCTGAATACTGTAAAAGACACCATGTCCCAAGACACCACCAAGTGTTTCCCGACACCTCGTACCTACAATGCCATGTCTTTATTCCCCTTCACATCCCCATCACTCTCAGCAACCAGCCAACGACACCAACAGCAAAATCTCAACGACTCCGGTGCTATTTTGTCGTCGAACAAAATCACTTGTTTACCATGAGCTATCAGCATCACATGTCCATCTTCTGCTCGCCATCACAATTACATGCAACATGCCCAGCGCATTGGCTGCCATTATAGCAATTGCTGGCATCCAAGAGATTATGCAAATCGAGTTGTACATACACCTGCATGTGTGATAAATTACCGCAGCATGAACATGTACTTGATTGTCTACCTGCATAAAAACAAAAAGGTCCCAGGTATTTCAATTTGCAGACAGAGGGAAAGGGAGAGAGAGAGAGAGAGAGAGAGAGAGAGAGAGGAGAATATTAAATGAGTTGCCTGTCGCTTAGAGAATACACACACGCCATTTGCTCATACATGTTCCTTTCATTAACGGGATAAAGAGTACCACCGCACACACATATATATGTTTTCCTCAGGAAGTTCAGCAGTAGTTCCACCCGTGAATGTAAAAAGTCCAATCAATCCCATCCATCCATCCAAAAAACAAAAAGTGTGTTCAAATTTCGGCCCGATCTGGAAGACAAGACATGAGATAGGTGGAAGATAGAATGTTTAAAAAAACGCCATTTCCTATGCAATGCTTATTGGTTTGAATGGCGTTTCCCCCCCAGATATTGTTGCAGTTGTTCGACGTTTCTCTCCCCTTGGTGGTGGCGGCCCCTGAAAGCTAGCTCATGACCGCATACATATGCGTTTTGAATTACATGAATATAGATTGCATAACTCTGCTTGGCCTGACTAAGCACCCCAAGGGTTTGCACCTGGCATTGCCGGATGCATGGGGATATGTCCGCCGTTTCCGTACTTCTCTTGTATGCTTTGCAGCTGCTGTGCAGTTGTCGGGGTGGTTCCCCACCGTTGCGGTTGGGGTGGGACTTGGCCCGGAGGAACTGGAATGGCGGCTACATCTCGTAGCAGGCTAACCAGACCCTCTGCTTTGAAGCGTGTTTCTTTGTATGTATGTGCAGGAGGGATGATCCCGAGAAGGAAGTTGACTCCCCGAGGCAGGGGTGGTGGACCTGGGTTCTGTCCAATAGGTGTTGCGCCAGCGGTAGCAAGGTTGCGACGTGCGGCATCAAGACGGCGGCCCGCAGCGCCCTTGAGAGGCGATTCACCACGAGCGAGTTTGCGAGGCTGTGCCACTTCCTCCATGTCCTCGAGTGGACGCTTGGGTGAGTTGGTTGCAGGCATGAGATTGTTAAGGTGAGGCGAGTTGGTAATGGCGGGAGACGCAAGGCGCTGCTGTTCCACAGCAGGTTGCGGCGGAGGTTGCGGTGGCGGTTGTTGTGGCGGCATTGCGGGAACGGGCTGCTGTTGCTCTTCGACCGATGGCATGACTGACGGCATGACTGGCTTCATCTGTGTGCGTGGCGAGATGATGTGGCGGACGGAGATGGGGTCGAAGGTTGGGCTTGCGAAGCGTTGCGAAAAGCGGTGCAGATGGGGATCTTCGGGGAAGAGAGTGGCCATACGCTGCTCAAGTTTGGTGATTTGTGCCAGCTCACCAAACTGGGCCTCGTAGTCATGGAAGAAGGCGAATAGTGACTTTGCCCGGTGCACGTTTTCCGGCTTAGCAGTTAGTTTTCCAACAACAGTTTCGAAGACAGCACGAGCGTCTGTAAATGTTAGAATGGCGTGGGAAATAGCATCGGACTTGAGCACTTACTGGTTGAATCATTGAGCTTGATCAGGTGCTTAATGTACTCCAACGCAAAATGCTCATCCTCTGGGAACAGCTTCATGCCACGCTCAAAAATCTTTTGGGCAGCTGGCTCCTGGTAGCAGTGATGTTCAATGAGTGCGCTGGCTACATATGCCTCGCTGAGCAGTTTGCCCTTTTTACGCGCCTCTGTGAAGACGCCTCGGAACCCGCCGATGTCGCCCTTTGGATCTCCCTTACCCTGGACACGACGCATGGCACGCATGAGCGCTATCCATGCATATGTGAGCGTTTTCTTGAGATTCTGCGTCTGCGCGTTGTAGCCGGCAGACATGGCCTGGAGTTGGCCGCTGAAAGCATCCTCTTTTTCCTTGAGACGTCGTGCAGCTACGACCTCATCTTCGTCGTCATCGTTTTGCTGCGCAATGGCCCGCGCCGCCTCGTCGGCAGCCTTTTGTACTTCAAACTGCTCCTTTGCTCGTGCAATGGAGTGTTCTTCGCGCTTCTTGACCTGTGCGGTGAGGTCGTAAATGGTATCCAGTAGTCTCTGGTATGGTTCGCGTACGGCTCTCCCCTTGGCAATGACACCTGCTTGGCCATCTTCAAAATCAGTACGTTGCTCGACCTGGTTAGCTTTCTTAAAGACAAGCAGACAGCTCTCAGGATTGGCCTCTATGCCGTCATTGAGGAACTTGTCGCCTTCAGCTTGCAGGTTGTTTTCAAAACACCATTCGGCTGCTTCGTACCAGAGCTCTGGCCAGAAACGAAGGGCCATCAAGGCATTCTTGTAGAGGTGCAGAACACGCTTGTTGTACAGCTCGCGGTTGTCGGTTGTGCACTCGAGCGGATCACTCTTCTCCCATTGGATCCAGTTTTTCCACAGCTTGACCTGGTTCATGTAGTCTTCGTAGCCATCGAAACCAGCAGCGGGCGTCAGCTTTGGCAGTGTGGTCCGAATGACACCCCTGGTGATGTTGTTTTCAAGAACATTGATAGCACTGCGAGCAGTCATGTAAGCGGGCGAAGTTTCTTGGAGTTGTTTGCGACCCTGTCACGAAAGTAAGCTTGATTGGAGCAGAAGGGCGTGTCAAAAAGCCTACCGAAACCTTATTCATGCTCATCTCGAACTTGTCGTAATCGCGCCAGATCTCGAGTGTAGCGTTGTGAGGAACGGCAACTGCACGCTGGTACACTTTACGCAGAGTATCCATCTTTTGCATGTCTTGCCAGTTACTGCCGCCGAGCACGCCGGGTCCGGTCTTGAGCATCTCGATATAGTCAAGCCACAGCTTACCGGCCTGGACATCGATACCAACAGAGTTGAGGACGAACTCATAGGCTTGGGTGACTGTCTGGCGATTCTGTCCGTTTTGGTCAGTGGTGAGGTTGAAGCGACGTCGAATGAAGTCGATGTAAGCAGAATAGATGCCAATATATTGAGCCGAGGGAATAGAACGGCCAAAGAGGTGCTCGACTTTTGGCAGCTCGTCGAGTTCGGTCTCAAACAGGATGTATTCGACCCATTGTTCGCCCTGCTCGTGTTAGTCGGGTCCGTTGCACCATTTGCTGCTGTGCTTACTGCTGAAGGGAAGACTTTGAGGAAGCGCTCGAATACAGCTCGGGCATCGTCGTGCTTGTGTCGCCTGCGGTGCTCCTCAATTAGACTCAACCACGCTTCGATGTCACCACGGGGATCTTCAGCAATGCGGTCTTCGAGAATGCCCACTCGATCCTGAGGCAGGCGAGCCTTTGGCAGAGCAGCAGAAGTGGGCGCTGGAGTGGCGGGCACTACGGAGGGGCGCGCTGAAGCAACATTCAAGACGTCGGGAGTAGCTGGCTTAGTAGCGTCTGGGACAGGCGTGCTGCCGTTAGGAACAGAAGCAACAGAGGGAGCAGGCTCATTGACAGCGACGGGAGCAGAAACAGATGCAGGAGCCTGGTCTTGTGCACTATGTAACTGTACATCTGGGTTGGGTAGTGTATTGTTTGGAGTGTTTGTAAAAGATGGCTGAGGGGCCTGTTGAGCCTCCGTCGCACTCTGCCGTGTAGCACTCGCCTCTTGCGGCTGCGCAGCGGGCTCCTCTTCCTCGTCCTCGCTCTCGTCGACAAAACCACCCACGGTGCGCGGCCGCTTGGACGGCGGCGCTGCGGCGGCCTCTGCGGCGGCCAAGGGAGGCTGGGACTGGGCTCGCGACTGCTCCCCATCCTCGCCGTCGGCGGGTCGGGGCGGAGAGTTTGCGCCTGATTCTGGCTGCACCGAGGGCGACTGCTCCGAGGGGGGCGAGTAGGTCGTGGCCGGGTCGTATTCGTCTTGGCCAGAGGGCGCGTCGGTCATGTTGTAGCCGCCGGCTGCAGGGTCGTACTCTTGGTGCTGTTGCGCCTCGAGGAAAGCGCGCTCGGCCTCGTCGGCCATGTCTGCGGCGGGATGGGAGCTATGCGGTGCAGTTAGAATTGGTCGCGGGGCCGTGGCGGTCGGCGGGTCACGGGCTGCGCGGGTGAAGAATGGCCTTTTCTTTGTCGCGTGGTCAGTCGTGTGCGTGTGCAGGCAGGGCGTGCGCGACGGGGCCAAGCGTGCGCTTGAGCGTCTTGCTCTGCGGTGGGCAGCTTCGACGGCCGCGCCAAGGAGATGCCGATGCGTGCGCAGGCGTGGCGAGATGATGCGCCGGCGGTCGTCGTTGTCGTTGTCGTGGTCGTCGTGGTCGGGTTGCGCGCGATTGTTCGTGAGGTGAGCAAAGGTTGCGGTTCGGCCTGGCGACGCCTGGTGCTTGGCGCCCCATGGCCAGCGCTAGCACTAGCCACTAGCACCAGCCACTAGCACCGCCACCAATCACTAGTGTTAGTGCGCCAGACCAGACCAGCTCTCTCCAGCCCCGGCCCGTGTCGTCGCTCAGGTACCGACCACATCGACGACGACATTCACATGCGCCCGGCCACTATGGAAACGTGCGATTCGCCGTGACACTCGACAACCACCAAGCCGATTCCACCCTTGCCCTGCCCGCCGTCGCCTCCACCCACCCGTCCGCCATGAACCCACACATCTCCCTCCCACGGCCGACGGGCGGGCCCTCCAACTTTGGCTCGACGCCCTCGTCGCGGCGCAGCGAAATCAAGATGCCGCGCTTCTTCAAGCGCATGTTCAAGTTCCCCCAGATGGACTTTGAGATGGCCGTCTGGGAGATCATGAGCCTCATCATTGCGCCCAAGAAGGTGTTTCGCCAGATCTTCTACCATGTATGCACTTGCGCCACGCCACGCCTCGCTATCCGCGCCCACCACTAACCAGCATCCCAGAAACAAACCACAAAGACATACCACCGCCCGGACCCGTCCTTTACCTATCTGCTCTCCTTCTTCCTCACCCTCACCTCCCTCGCCTGGGGCTTTGCATACGCCGACGGCTTCACCCAGACGCTCCACATAATGCTCGTCTTCATTTTTGGCCACTTTCTGCTGCTCTCGCTCCTCATAGCCACGCTCTTCTTCTTCCTCGTAGGCCGCCTGCTGGGCCCAGACAACACGCTGCTACCTGGGCGACGGAGAGGGCTCTACAACCTCGGAGAGGACTCGGGCAAGGAAGAGCTCGAGTTTGGCTACTGCTGGGATGTTGCCATTCGAGCCTTTGTGCCCGTCTGGGTATTCCTCTATGTTGTGCAGTTTCTCTGCATGCCTCTAGTAGGCACACACCACTGGTAATATGTGAAACAATATCCGACAAGACTGTCACTGACGCACACCAGGTTCTCCCTCCTCCTGTCCAACACGCTCTATCTGCTCGCCCTAAACTACTACTTTATCATCACTTTTCTGGGCTACAAGGAACTGCCCTTTTTGCACCACACTGAGCTTCTGCTCGTACCTGTCGCCGTCACGGCTATACTGTGGTTCGCCTCTCTCTTCGGCTTCAACATGTCGACACACTTTGCGCCGGTATTATGGACGGGCGCAAAGCTGCGGAAGCAAATTTAGACGGATTAGTGCGGACGCGATGGATGAGGAACATGTTGCCAGTATATTCACGGCGTACCTAAGGCGCATAAAAACTAGAGTGTGAAATTTGCAACATATCCTGTTTTAGGACTCACTGTGCATCGTTGACCATAGTTCGTGATGCTTGGCAGTCCTTGCACTTTTGAGCCACCAACTAGTGCCTACGCGCGCGGCACGCCAGTACACCTCGACGTTACCTCACGACGCAAAGTGCTCTACCGCCACAATTGCAATTGGCACTGCAATGGCATCCGGTATATTACTCCTTGCTGCCTCAACTACTGTTCGTCGAGCTCTTATCTCGAATGCTACCTTACGCTCTTTGCAAATGAGTTTGTTGCGCCAACAGCTCCTGAGATCTTGTCGGTTCGCGAGGCTGGCTCAGCCAACTTCACTCTCATTGCCGCATTCTTGACAATACATAATGACTTTGCACGACGTCGGCATGCTTCAACGCTGTGATGTGGATCAATTTTACAAGTACACCTCGGGTCGATGGCTCTGGAATGAGAAGCATCAACTTGCTCGACGTTACGTCAAGTTTGACCTACCGGAGCTCCTCCAAGTCTCCGCGCAAGCGACTGGAGCTCGCTCTTGTGACAAGATTGAGAAACTGCCTGAAGGAAATTTTAGCAAGGTCTTTCTAATTACCATGAATAATGGCCGAGAATTAATCGCCAAACTCCCCAACCCTAATGCTGGACGTCCGCACTTTACGACAGCCAGCGAAGCCGCCACCATGGACTACGTATGGGCTCCTCGACTCATTACATCTGATAATTGCTGACATAAAGCTACTTTGCAGGTTCGAAATGTCCTCGGCATTCCGGCGCCCCGCGTATATGGTTGGAGCTCCTCGACAGACAATCTCGTTGGAGCAGAGTACATCCTGATGGAACGCAGTAGGGGAGTAGAATTGGGCAAGATATGACATGACATGCCTTGGGAGGAAAGACTTGAGGTTATCAGGACCTTGGTTGGGTACGAGAAAGCTTTTGTTTGTGTCAATCTTCCCATGTACGGGAGCTTGTATTATGCAAAGGACCTGCCTAGCCCAAGCCCAAATCAATTTCTTGACCCCGCCAACTCGGTACACAAGTGAGAAGAAGCCTTCGTAGTCGGTCCGACAACTAACAGGACGTTCTTCGACCAAGGCAGAGATTCTGTCCAAGTAGATCGAGGGCCATGTGAGTTCCCTTGTCTTCCCTGTCATGCTCGTCCTAAGCTGATTAGATGACAGGGCTTTCACTTGAAGAATTTATCCATTCCCGCGCCGCCCGAGAGCTAGCGTGCGTCGACAAATTCTCGTCGTATCTTGGTCAGCAAGGGCTGTTTCGTGGACCCAACCAATACCGTCCAAGCAGAGCATTGAAGGTCAGAGTCCTCGGTGATTATCTGAAAATCGCAACCCAGATTCTGCCTAACGATTTCAACCTGTCAAAGCCCACTCTATGGTACCCGGATCTGCACAGTGACAATATCTTCGTCGGCCCTTCCCAACCGACCAGAATCCTTGATATCGTCGATTGGCAAGCAGTTAATATGTCCCCGCTCTTCCTCCAAGCACGCCATCCATCGCTCATCGAGTTCGAAGGCCCAATACCACAAGGCTTTGAGCCAATAGCACTACCCGATAATTTCGATGATATGAGCGAAGAGGCACAACACCAAGCCAAGAATCTGCGCGCTGCCCAGTCTCTCTATAAAGTCTATGAAATCCTCATGCTCCGCCAATGTCCGGACATTGCTCATGCGCTGCATTTTCGAGACACGCTGCCAGGCCAAATCACTGGATTGGCAAGCTCCAACTTCAGCGATGGAGAGCCAGTCTTACAAGGAATGCTCATTCGACTTCAGAATGAGTGGGAAACATATGTTACATCTTCTACACCGTGTCCCCTTTCCTTTACTCCCGACGATAGGATGCAGCAGCAACGTCTCGAGGCGAGTTAGAGCCAAGGCGTCGAACTGATGCATGAGGTTTCGGCCGAGATTGGTGCCTACCAGGGATGGGATGGCTGGGTCAATCATAGCAATTATCCCGTGTACAAGGAGCGGTTGGCCAGATGTCGCGAGAATTTTCTGCATCGCTACGCGAAAACTGACGAGGAAAGAAGTCAGTAGATCCAGGCCTGGCCGGTTGAAGATAAAACACAGCCATCAACTCCTGTATAAGATAAGACCGTAAATCTAGTTGTTGCGAGTTGATATTATTATGGCGACGCTCAATCATAACATAAAGAGCTTTGTCACATAACGTCCATCCACAAGTTATGGGCCGCATCCTATTGCGAGACAAACTGCAGACACTTTAAGGTCAAGCGACTGTCATCTATGATATTCTTAGGTGTAGTAGAAATGCATTGCCTAGCATAAGAGCTACTATTTCCCGTGCAGGGAGCAAATTATCCATCGTTACTAGTGTGCAAAAAAAGAAGACGAGTAGAACCTCTCTAGCGGGGAATTACACCGAAGTCGAGACCTAAGTCTTAGTAAGGTAGGTACGCTAATATTCTCCCACTTACCATAGCTATTGTAGAACTTTTTAAGCAAGTTATAATTTTTTAGTTTTTCGCGAAGGACAAGGGGTAGTTATCATCTCTGATTATTAATCAACGATTAAGCAAGTGATAAGTTGAATTTATAGCTATAAAGTAAGCTACAACTTGCCCTCATAGACACTAGGATCGATAGAGTTATTGAAGAAGCTCGATCATAATGTAGGGACCCAGTCTACCATTCTATCAAGGGTAGTAGTAATACCCACCATCACCGCATCCGCCATGGCTTACTTCGTCGACAAATCGACCATATGTGAAAATGGTTTCATGATCACATCCAGTTCCAGTACTTGCGCTATTGTAAAGTAAGTACGTTAACATAGAAACACTCTTTAGTGTGATATCTTACCTTTTATTAGGATCGCAGCAATATGGAGCACTCCCGCCTGGTTTGCAGCAATACCAAAATGCAGCTTCGACACGACACACCGCTGGTGCAACTGTTGCGAGTAACACTAGAACAACTGACTTCATTTCGATTCGAATGGTAATCAAATATAGTGGAAACTAATGTTGAGGTCTGGTGAACTTGTTGTAATTGAATTGTTTCTGATGTGGATACATACAAGTTATCCGAATATTAGGTCTCTTCTTATACTTGAATTCTTTTCTTATTATTTATAATATTATGTAAATACTACACTCCATCTACTCTTCCTTTGTCCAGTAGAACTATCTATCGAGTAACTCACACTGAAGTTGGTCGTATATTTTCTACTAATAAGGAGAAAATATATTCATTAGCTCGATGGATGAAAGACATGTGACACAGAATAGGTGACATGATCCATAGCATGACGTACAAGTCAGCAATACGACCTGATACTCAATCTATAAACCTTTCCCCTCACTCGATATGAATAGATTTTGCCCGACACTTCGTGTTAGGACGTGGTTGTGTCTGACATCAGATGGATTACTTATCTATCACTTGGATATATCACATAGGAGATCTAATATTTCGTGAAGATGATGTATACACTGTTCCATACGAGATGATATTAGACAGTTAATAACTCTCACCTTTTTGTAAGGTTATTAGTGTCAAATGTAAGCTACATTTAGGATCTTAGAGTACTAAGTAGAGGCGCCGGGATACTCACTAGCGTGAAATACCTTAACTACCCCGGACAGTAAGCAACCCCTGGGAAGTAAGCACCTCAAAAAGAGGGGGTGTCTGGTTTTATATTGGTTACTTTTGTTGATACTTAGCGTTTTTGAGTTTTACTAGGCTCACCACCCGTCTGATTAGGTATAGCTATTGGTAGCGTCGCTACCGCAGAGGTAAAATTGTGAACACTGCTGTTGAAGCTCTAAGCTCTAACTACCCCTGTTGAGATTTGATTTTATCATTACGTGACATAGAGCTTGTATCCTATCCACGCTAAATTATTCTACCAGCAGCTATAGCTGTTGAAGTTGCCAAAGTTGTTAGCGAAACCAGACAGGCCTTTGATCAAACTTAACCCCAGCACACCTACCAGGCAGATCTGGTAGATCTAGAGCCTTTCCTAACCCAGTTATCGGCAAATAGCTCATCATACTTTAACGAAAGAGATCGTATCTAGTAAGCACTAGGATCCGCATTTATCCAGGCTTACAAGAGCCTTACTAGCCCTCCGTAGGGCCCGTATAATTAGTATCTTGCAAAGGTACATAACGTGGAGACGTGGTAGGGGTAGGCTAGTAAAAAAAAGTGTCTGTGCATTTCTAAGAACATGTCACATATGAGTAGCTTGAGCTAAGGAGCACAGATGTGGATCAGATTATCCAGAATCTGCGTATAGCTAATTAGAGAATACCACCTGAATTAGCTAGATAGCAAGGTTTTCTTAGGTGTAGTAGAGCTACATTGCCCAGCTCGAGAGATGCCAGTTTCCGTGCTTCGGCGGGTGATGAATCACTCATCATCACCAAGGTGCCAAAAAAAGCAAAAAAAGATGAGTAGATGCTCTCCAGCGGGGAATTGAATCCCGGTCTCCCACGATCTGCCAATTGCTTGACAAGCGGAAATACTGACCACTATGTCACTGTGCTGGTTGCCAGCATGTCCGCTAAATTTCCTGTTTTGGGTGACGCATATCCATTAATTTTTCTGCTTCCAGTTACTGCAACGCGAACCCGTTCTGGGACTACAGCCTGCCAAGCTATACTAAAATACCATTCCTAGGCATATTAGCTTTGAGACAGGAGCTCGATTCTCAGCCCCTTGTATGTTGGGTACCTTAGTGTATTGGTGGCGCTTTTTGCCTTAAAGCAGCAGCTCAGCGTTTAATTATCAACCCTGACTGGCTTTATGCTCTGGCAGGTCCACTTTTAAGGTCATCTTTTAATAAAACACGTGATGTCTGAGGCCGCACGCCTACCACACACCAAGCACGGTCAACTGTTGACCAATCATGTCGTGACTCCATCATGCCCTAGTGGTCATTCAAGCCAGACGCTCACTGTTACAATCAACTCCACGATCGTCTACACGATGCCAGATCGAAAGCCGCGCCGTCGAAACGGGTTCCAAAATATCGAGTCGGCATGGGCACAGCTCATAGATACGTTGAACGACATCGAGTTATCAGAACGCTTAACGAAAACCCATAATCAGCGCATTACGAAAGTTACGGCAAATGAGAAAACAACGAAGTCGGACGACTCTCTTAAGCGAAACAAATTTTTGAACAAAGTATTGGCTATCAACCCTGACCTTCATAAGTTATGTGTTGTCGCTTTCTCGCAGAATCAAATCAGCTCCACGAAAAAAGCTGTACTTAACAAATTGGTTGAAAGAATTAGGGAACGGCGCGATGGCACAATCATTTCTCCTGCCACGCGATCGCTTTTGCATCGTTCGGAAGACGATAGGCCTATACCACTACCCCAGGAGACCATTGAACTACCAAAAACCCCGCCAGAACCTTGGGTCGATTTGAGATACGCCGAAAGAGAAGGGATTGAAAAGGTTTTTGGACAATACCTACTGGACAGGATTGAGAACACGGATCTGAGACAAAACTGGAGAGCAGTCTTCATGCGCCTGCCGATGTGGCCACAAGATCTTTCTGGGCCTTGTTTTATGTCATTGAACCTTCGCGAAGAAAGTGTTAAAGAGGTTGCGATGGCATTATTCAAGGTAGAAGTAAACTGGAGGACGAATGCCTTTCATATCAATCACGAGAACGGATTGTTGCAGATTATTCCTCATTCTCAGTATACAATGAAGGGCGTCTCGGATGAGGACATTATCGCCGTTTTCGGGGCAGGTATACATGCTGCAATCACTACATGTAGCATCAGAGCGAACGAGTTGAGAGAAGGGGATAGGAGAACTAAATGTGTATCAATTACTTTTTCAGAGAAGAGGACTGTAATTAATCTAATACTGAGCGTAGCGGAAGGTGTCAAGATCCAGAGTAAGCTCAGTTTGTCCGCCACATTAGGATAAAATCTTCTTCAATCCAACTCTACGAATTTTCCTCTCGCAATGTATAACTCCCATCCTTCTTCAACTATTATTCCTCCATTTTCATTTTTAGGTAGCCGCGTACGCTTCTCCTTGCCTTCCTTGTCTTTCTCAAATACAGTAACACTGCTATTTCTCCATTCTACTGTTTGACCTCGACCCGTTACTACCGTGGCAACATTATCCTTTACATGTGTAAAATCTATATTTGCGTTAGGCGGCTGGACTTTGTTGGCGTCAAAAGTCTGGAAAACATTAGTTACGAAATGAGAGGAACAATCCTACCTACCATCAAGGCACGATAGTGAACAAGAGGAGCGTCGAGCGAGTTGCCTGGAGAGTTGGTGTTCACGAGTATATTTCGTAATGTGCGTGTACGTGTGCGTGGCGCCGATTGGCACTAGAGACGCAGTACAGTATCGCGTTGCGCAAAAGTGTGTCCGGATCGGGGTGCTGCTCGGACGGTTGAGCACTTCCTAGATGGCGATCGCAAAGGTGTCCTGTATTGAAGGCTTGGATGCGATATTTGAGAGGCTCGAAAGTTTGCAGACTGTTGATGGTTGTGGAGGGGTCGTGGAGGGGTCGTGGAGGGGTCGTGGACACCTACAATCTGTCGCGTGCGTTAGGCACTCACACTTTTGGGCCGTAACGCAGACTTGAAAAGCGAACTGTCTTTGCACTGTCTCAACCGACGCTGCTTATACTAAACCACAGAAGTACTAGTCTATTGTACAAAACCAAACGTAAAATTATGGCCTCGCTCCTGCTACTTAACGGTCGAACAGTCAACCGGTCGATGCCCCGCATTATCACGTGATCAGCTTTCGTTCGGTTGTACCTTTAATTCATTTTATTTTTGCGACAGTTGCATTGTATAATACAAGAGCATGTGACCAGGTAGAGATACGTCATTTAGGACGTTGTGTATGAAAGCTTGGACTATTATTATTATTATTATTATTATTATTCTAGTTTAACATCCTTTTTCAGCCTAAATGTAACGGGTCGAGTCCTATTAGACTGCGCACGCAACTACAACGCGCCCACCGCGCCAAAAAGGCTGGCACAAGATATCAGAGCTGCTGATATCGTTGCGTAGTTGATACATAAGATAGCCACCGCTATCTGTACTGTAGCGGGCTACCTAGCCCGTTACATAAAGGGCTATATAAGACGTGTAGGGTTTTTAGGCCTACAAGTATCTAAGTAGGTTGTTTCTAGCTACAATATTTAGGAGGGGTTTTAACTAGATAAAGGTGAGGCTTATAGCCTATTAGTTAGTAGGTAGGGGGTAGGATAGGGTAGGGGAGGTGTATAGCTACCTGTTATAGGTATTACTCCTCGTTTTCTGTGTTTCCCTTATACTAGGCTTGTATTCTAGCCTTTGTTTCTTAAATAAAGGTAATAGTTGCTTTTATACCCTCTTTTGTTTAAAGAAGGATAGGTAGTAATAGATCGCCTTTATAGGCTTCTCTTAGTCCTTTCCTTTCCTCTCTATATAGATTACATCTAAATAGAATATAAGGTAGGTCTTGTATAGACCTATAGTTGCAGGGGCAACTATTAGAATCCACTTTCCCTCTCTTATATAGGTAGTCCCTTAGGTAACAGTGCCCTAGTTTAAGTTGGTAGAAAGCGCTAGAAACCTCTCTTCTAGTATTGCTAGGAATAGCGATTTGCTTTCTTATCTTCCACTTGTATTTTGCTGCGTACGTATGTGGATTCTTGCTAGTGGCTTTTTTCCTATACTGTTTAAGTTGGCTTAGCCAGGAGAACTGACCAAAAACACCAACTTCGAGTTTTCTGGAAACCGCTAGGAAAGCACGCTATCTAGGAGAACCGACCACGAGGAATCGACTAACAGCACTTTTAACACCTGCAGCTAAGGCGCTAGCGCGCAGTAGGGAGAAGAAGGAGGCCTTCCTTCGTTTTCTCACGCCTGTGAGAATTTTCCCACAGAGCTTGGGCTCTAATGC